CCCAACGTGGGGCTTGATCCTGGGACCCTGGGATCACGATCTGAGCTGAAGGCAGATGCTTAATGACTGAGCCACCCAGGCACCCCTTTTTCACTCATTTTAAAAGTCAGGTTGTTCATTTTCTTATTGTTGAGTCTAAAACTCTTAAAGAGTCATTGTATTAAGTTCCAGTCCTTAACAACTATCAACAAGATCCTGCTGATCTTCCCCATCTATATCTTATTACAGTTTTGCCAATGTTTTTTTCTTTTTTTCGTAACCCCCTTCATCGATTTCACCCATCCCCCCATCTATCTCCCTTCTGGCAACCATCAGTTCTCTGTATTTAAGTCTGTTTTTTTCTTCTTCTTCTTTTTGGTGTTCATTTGTTTCTTAAATTCTATGTATGAGTGAAATAATAACGGTATTTGTCTTTCTCTCATTGGCTTATTTCACTTAACCTTATACCCTCTGGGTCCATCCATGTTGGTGCAAATGGCAAGATGTCATTCTTTCTTATGGCTGAATAATATCCCATTGTATATGTACATACCACAACTTCTTTACCCATTCATCTATGGTTGGACACTTGGGTTGCTTCCACATTTTGGCTATTGTAAATAATGCTGCAATAAACAGAGGGGTGCATATATCTTTTTGAATTAGTGTTTTTGTTTTCTTTGGGTAGATACCCAGTTGTTGAATTACTGGATCATATGGTAATTTTATTTTTAACTTTCGAAGGAACCTCCATACTGTTTTCTACAGTGCCTGCCTCAATTTGCTTTCCCCTTTTTAAAAAGCTCTTCCTATACTGCTCTTTCAAATCCTCGAATGTGCCCAGTTCTTTCACAACGGCTGTACCCCCTGCTTGCACCATTCATTTCACATGCTCCTCTTTGCGTCAGCAGTTCCTTTCATCCTTTAGAATTTGCTGAAACATGAGTTCCTTAGGAAAGTCTTCCCCATACCACAGGGTCAAGTCTGTTGTTACAAACTCTCAGAACCACATGTGATCCTGATCAGAAGGGTAATTATATGTCTAACATCTGTCTTTCACAGTAATCTAGAAGCTTTATGAGGTTAGGAACCGTCTTTGTTCCCACCATTGTGAGCTCAGTATTCAACACTGGCACAAGCTAGATGCTCAATAAATGTTAAATGCGCATTCGAGTGGTGATGGAAATAACTTATACAGTCCTCTGTAAAGTTGAGCAAATTACTGAGACAATCTATCTGTACTACTTGGTAACCTGTGTAAAGTCACAGGTCCAACTTGTTGCCTTTTTCCATATTCAAAATGGGAATAAATACCTCCCTAAATACAAGGATTATTATAAGGATATGTGAATTAATTAAGGAACAGTTTGGGAGACTTTGACTCTGTAAATCCGATATGGTATTTGGGTTTTGGTAATCATGTGGGTAATTAATGCCTTGTGGTATATCTTAGAAAATTTAAGGTTTTCTTAAATTTCACGTATTTCTTAAGTAAAAAATATAGTAGCTGAAATTAAGCTTTTGTGGTTTTTTTTTTTTTTTTGGTTAACCCTTAAATGATGTGGTTTATTATTTACCACAGTGTAATAAACCCAGGGAATAGTTTAATAAATTGAGTACTTTAGAGAAAGCTAGTTTATTTGATCTTTGGTGAAAACATCAATTTATATATTAATCTTCAACCAAAAAAATTTTTATTTTTATTCCAGTATAATTAACATACAGTTTTATATTAGTTTCAGGTGTACAATATAGGGATTCAACAATTCCATCTATTATTCAGTGCTTATCAAGATAAGTGTACTCTTAATCCCCTTCACCTGTTTCACCCATCTCTCTCCCCCAACCCCAATCTGTTTGTTCTCTGTATGTAACAGTTTCTCTTTTGGTTTCTTTTTTTTTCCTTTGTTTTGTTTCTTAAATTTCACATATGAGTGAAATCATATGGTATTTGTCTTTGACTGACTTATTTCGCTTAGCATTATATTCTGTAGATCCATATTGTTGCAAATGGCAGGATTTCATTCTTTCTTATTGCTGAATAATATTCCATTGTGTGTGTGTGTATATATATATATATATATATCACATCTTTATCCATTCATCTAATGATGGACACTTGGTTATCTATTGCAAATAATGCTGTAATAAACATAGGGATGCATATATCCTTTCAAATTCATGTTTTTGTATTCTTTGGGTAAATACTCAGTAGTCCAATTCCTGGATCATGTGGTAGTTCTATTTTTAATTTTTTCTTCCTATTTTTAATTTTTTGAAGGACCTCCATACTGTTTTCCTCAGTGGCTACATCAGTTTGAGTTCTCACCAACAATGCACGAGGGTTCCTTTTTCTCCACATCCTCGCCAACACTTGTTGTTTCTTGTTTTCGATTTTAGCCATTCTGACAGGTGTGAGATGACATCTTATTGTGGTTTTGATTTGCATTTCCCTGATGGTGAGTGATACTGTGCATCTTTTCATGTGCTTGTGGACCATCTATATGTCTTCTTTGGAGAAATGTCTGTGTCTTCTGCCCATTTTTTAATTGGATTATTTGGCTTTTGGTGTCAAGTTGTGTAAGTTCTTTATATATTTCAGATACTAACCCTTTTTAAGTTATGTCATTTGCAAATATCTTCTCACATTCAGTAGATTGTCTTTTAGTTTTGTTGATCAACCAAAAATTTTGTCCTAGAAATAATTATGCAGCCTAGAATTTTGGAAATTTAGTTCCTACTTGTAAAATTTGCCAAAAACAGATTCAACAGAGTGAATGTTTTCTCTTTTTAATTAATTACTTCAGGCTTTTCTCATACCAATCATAGAAATTTATCATCTCACCTTTTCCTGAAGAATGGTGATTACATTTCTGATCCTGAACTGCGTTTCCAACCATCAGACATCACTTGACTACCTACGACCAGTGGTCTAAAGTAATTTAATATTTAACGTCATATGAGAATTGAAGGGGCAAAAACTAAGAGCTATATCCTACATAGCAAACATAAAATAATAGTTTTACATTTTTCTTGCTTTTACAAACTTAATGTCATTAATCGTTATGCTTAAAATTCCAAGCACACTCTACCTTATTCCAAAACTATTGAAGTTTAAACAAAAGCTATTCAGGGAATTAATCAGAACAAAGAAATGAACAACTTACCATACTGAATATTAGCCTAAAAGCGTAATTTTTTTTTTTAAGTAGTCTCTATACCCAACGTAGGGCTCGAACTCATGACCCTGAGATCAAGAGTTGCATGCTCTACCAACTGAGCCAGCCAGGCACCTAAAAGGGGTAGATTTAAATCAAAATTCTATCAGGTAATTTTCTCAGCTGTGACCCTGCATATTAAATATTATGAAATGTGCAAAGGACTCTGTCATATTGATTCATTAACAAAAAGTGCTTACTGAGTGCATAATTGAGCAAGGCCCTATGCATATAGATCCCCATGCATAGAGTCACGAAGAATGGAACAATCTCAGGAGACCCATTTTTTTTTTTTTAAAGATTTTATTTATTTATTTGACAGAGACAGAGACAGCAAGAGCAGGAACACAAGCAGGGGGAGTGGGAGAGGGAGAAGCAGGCTTCCTGCTGAGCAGGGAGCCCGATGTGGGACTCGATCCCAGGACCCTGGGATCATGACCTGAGCCGAAGGCAGTCGCTTAACCAACTGAGCCACCCAGGCGCCCTCAGGAGACCCATTTAACAAAACATTGAGGGGCGCCTGAGTGGCTCAGTCAGTTAAACGTCTGACTTTGGCTCAGGCCATGGTCTTAGGGTCCTGGGATTGAGCCCTACGTCGAGCTCCATGATGGGCTCCATGCTCAGTGGGGAGTCTCCTTGTCCCTCTGCCCCTCCCCCTGCTTGTGCTCTTTCTGTTTCTCTCTCAAAAAAATAAAATCTTAAAAAAAAAAATTGAAAATGTATAGAAAAGACCTCTGTGATGGCTTCTGCATTTTTCAGATTACTCAAAGAAAAGATGTTGGCAATGCAAGTTAAAATAGGTATTTTATTGAGAAACTCGCTTTGTCAGTGAGAGTAAAAGTTACAAATATTTTCATTTAACAAAATTAGCATATCCATAATCTTAAAAACATCCCTAAAAAGCCTTTGCTTATCTGAAACCTCAGATCAGTCAGATCCAGGGTTTTCTCTTAGTGTTTCCCATGGAAAAAGATGCTGCTCATTCCCTTCATGCAAATAACAGAACATGTGAAGTATGACTTGTTCACAAAACAAATTCTCCAGTTTGAGTTGCCTGCATGCATGTGAATTAATATCTGTACTGCTGTCACTATAAAAGTCTCCTGGTATAACAGTGAGGCTTTATGCTTACTCCTGAGCATTCTGAGACTTATAATGTGGTCATATGAAAAAAAGGGTCTTGCCGCAAGATAGTTCTGCTGAAAAAACATCTCCATTCCCTAATCATAACATAAAGTTGGTACAGGTTAATACTACACAATAAAGTATAATTTACTTGTTAAATACACCAGGCTTCCATGCAGATTTTTTTAAAAAATTACATATTTGTTGCATTAAAAGGGCAATGATTTAAATCTATAAATTATTTTCTAAATGGCTTTTACATGAGACATTAAAAGTATGAGAAAAATAAATACTTGAAACATGTTTTAAATAAGTTAAACCAGTACTGACACCTAACAAGTAGAGGTTCAAAGGTCATGTGAATAGATCTCTTTTTAATTTATTGAAGATAAAGCTTATCTGAGGGCAACACTGAATAATTTTCAAGTTTATAGATTTTTATACATGGATACTTTAAAAAGGCTAAATTCTAGATGTAAAAGTAGGATGTTAGGTTTAGAATTTTTAAATCTTGACTTGAACTATATAGATTTTTTTTCTTTTTAACTACAGGGAATAAAGTGATAGGGCTATCCTTCTGCACTGTGATGCTTTGTGCAAACACCAGAATTGATATATGACAATAATTTTGTTGATAAAATTTAAACAAAACTGCTGAAATTATTTTTAGTACAAAAGTTAAAGATTAGACTTCTGTTGATGGATTTTGGAGATAATATTTATGGTGATTCTTCTTCGCCTCCTGTGGCACAGATTAGTATTTTGGATACAAAAATAAGAGAAGATGAACTTCTAGTTCATCTAAAAACTTCTAGTTTTTAATGAGTACTATTTGTCAAGAAAACAGGAAAAAGAGAATAAGAAGGCCTTTTATCAGAATCATTAAAATTCTTTTTCAGGAGGTGCTATCAATAAGTGCAAAGTTATCATAATTTAACGTCCATTTCCTGCCAGCAGTATACCTGCCTAATTTGGCAATTTAAAGCAATAGTACATTGGATGTTGACTTTGAAATTATAGCAAACAGATGTGGGGAGCAATGTTTTAAAATGTTGGCATAACTAGTTTATAGTAATTATTATATTTATTATCAGAACTTTAAATTTTGACTTGGTTTTCTCTTTTTCCTAAGTCAGTTTCCTGTGTGTTTTCCATAGACATGAAATCACAAAATGTTCACATGGGGTGGGAACACATCTCACCAAATTTTACAGAAGAGGCAACTGAGGCTCAGAGAGATTATGATTTGCCCAAGGTCACACAGCTAACAAGAAACAGATCTGGGGCTGGAGTATGGCCCAGGGTTGTCTCCCTCATAATTTAGGTCTTAGGGGATGGGGATGAATGCTCAATCTCTTTATATGTTTCCTGTGGGGGTGTGTTTGCATTAATAGCAGGAGGACTCTGTTCAGGGCTCTTTTGAAGAAATCTATAAAACAAGTACTCATCCCGAAATTCATACTCGTTGGTAATATGTTGGATGACTCCCCCTTGCACCAGTCTATCTCCATATATCACAGCTTCCCCGCGGTCGGAGGCAAGGCCGACTTCAATGAGCCAGTTCACCATGTCACAGCCACAGAAGGTCCCGACAGATGTCTTTGCACCACACCTGTATGTCAAAGGAATGATTCACCCATATGTTCTGTAAACCCGGTATCAGCACTGCATGATAGAGGACAAGCAAGGAAAAACAGGAGACAGGGAAACACAGCATGATAGTTAAAAGTGTGGCAGGAATGAAACTATTCTGAATATAAAGGGTTTGTTAACTCACCTGACCCTAGAAAGATCCACCAGAAAAAAATAAAATATGCCAATAATGCTTGTGAAAACAGAAACATGTAAAAAAAATGACATAAGTAAATGCATCTACGAAGAAGCATTCTTTTTACAGTAGCTGGTCTTTTATGATCAGATCCATTCTGCAGACAGCTGAATAGTGTTCATTTTATAAGTTATACTCTTAGGTATAATAAGTAACTAAATTGTCTCAGAAACATTTAATAATATTTTTTACAAGCTCTTAAGAAGTGACTATTTTTACTAAACTACTCAAATCAAACGTCATTATTTTCTGTTTATCACAGTGCCTACAAACAGTCTTTCTTCTTGTCTTCAGCAGCAAGACATTCTTACTGATATGCTTGTCAAGAATTTGCATTAGGAAGTAAGGAAGGAATAAGTGTGATCTGTCTTGCTACAAATGTAAGGTCTTTAAAATGTACTTTGATGATGAATCTATTTCTTGATTATTTAAAATCTGTCTTGCTAATGCAAATGTGGGGTACCTCACGTATGAACAAATAAATAAGGGGAAGGGAAATGTTAAAGAACCAGTTCAATGAATTCTGTAGGTTTTCATACAAATATGTAAGAGACAACATGAATCTGTCCACAAGCATTAGTCAAGCTGTAAAACCTGAAGTGCTTGACAACAGGAAACAGCGGATGAAAATCAAGATGAAATGAGAAATCGGTGACAAACATTTTAGACCATTTAACCACCAAGGAGTATAGCGTTTCATAGAAAAATTAGAAAAGAGGTTAATATACATGAAAAATCTTCTCAAGTACATAAATCAAAATATTTTAACATCAGTATTTTGCTTAGTAATAAGATATCTTAATTTATGCTTTGCCACGCAAACATCACTTTGAAAAAAAGCCTGAATATTACCACCTCTGTCTGATCCTTCTCCCTGCTTGTTGATTTTTAACTTATAGCCTAACAAACACCTTGTAATCCCAGACACCAACTGAATAGCACTTGCTTCCTGATGACTGACCAGGAAGCTCCAAGCGCAGTGCATGGAACTGTACAGAATGCCAAGAATGTGCCGTCACATAGGACGCACAGCAGCCCCATCAGCCAGTGTCCGCTCAGCTAGAAGCAAGAGTCATGCTTCTGACAGTAGGCAGTCACGGTGGGCCTTTCTGAAGGGGAGTGCCCTTTCTTCCTTTAAAAAAAACAACTGTAAATTGTTGGAACTAGCCACAGATGGAACTTTGAAGTAATTCTGTTTGGCTCTTGAAGGGTAAGAAACTAACTTTTCTTCATAGTTTACCATTTCCAGAAACTGAGCTTGGACCATCATATAGATTTTGCTATCCACTTCAAAGACATGTTATCTAACTTCAAATAAGAGGAAAACAAAGGTTTAGAGAATCGAACTGGCCTGACGTCACATAGCTAGTAAGTGGCAGATTCAGGACCTGGCCTCTGGTATCGGTGCACAACCAGTGAGTCCCCTTTCCACTAGCTATACCAGGCCTCCTTTTGGTTATAATAAAATATACTGGCATAAGAGGTTAAATATATCACCCTGAATGGTAATCTGCATAAATTTGTAAATACGTAGTTATACACATAAACATATTTGGTTATGTTGTGTTTTTTTTCCTCTTTTATGACAACCAAAAATCATGGCACTTTAACATTCATTTCCTGCTGCATCCTCCATACCTTGAGGATTAGAAGAATAAATATGATGTCATAGACTGAAGATTAGGACTTGAAGGGAAAAATAAGCAGCCAAATTAATTAAAATACAAATTTCATTTCATTTTTTTGACAATGTCATTAATAATACGAAATAACATACCGCTAGGAGATGGAGAATAGAAAGCCACTTCTAAATCCAGTGTATCTCATAGCTTTGTGAGACACTACTGGCCAACGTGAAGTGAATGTTAATATTTCACGACACCTTGGTTCATTCTAAATTAGTTTTCACATTTTATATGGAAATCGGCAGTTATATAACATTTAGAAAGTGTAAAAATCTTATATATTCTGTTTCTTAAACTATACACTGACCCATAGCTATTTTCACTTTTACATGTAAACATGCTATTGGAAATAACAACGATGTAGTTAGTTAAAACCACATTACTTAGCCTGTTACAAACCAAAATTAATCATCTAAAATATAATTATCTGGAATTTGTACTTACCTTCTTTCCTTGACAATGTTTCGGATGCAGAGGTCACGGTGATAATGGATAAATTGCTGACAGGTCATTTTTATTTCCTCAGAAACAGGAGAACCCCTGTTTTCTGCTGTCTCTTTATTATTCCATAGGAATTCAAGTCTAAAAACCAAAATTTATGGAGGCCACTTTTAAGGAAATGAAAGCACTGAGAGAAAACCCCTTCTTGCTTATCACCCCATTAACATGGCTCTTTCAAAGCTAACATCTAAAACATCCAGATCTCATTAGTCTCCGAGGCAAAGACATAACCTGCACTTGGTTTCCTGGTCCAAGCAGGTAGGGTGGGGGTGAGGTGAGGCAGGGTGGGAGACTTGAGACTTGAACGTTTTATAAACCCTCCTGACATATTTGATCCATTTCAGTTTCTGCCAATAAATGAAGGTCTTTTCTTATTCTACATTCTACTGTTTTAAGTTGCAAAAATTACTTACAGAGATCAAGTATTTTATTTAATCATTTTCCAATTTCAGTACCAAAGAGACAAATACTAGGATCTGGAATACAGCACATTTCTGTTTCTGTCACCTCGGACAATAGATCTGTTGACTATTTTACCTGATCAACATTATGAAGCTGTTAACTAAGTTCAAATACTTTCCTATTACACTTTTCCTCCTTAATGAAATGATTATGACCCTAGCAACTACATCTTAATAATGTGATGATGTTAATGATGACAAAAAAGAAGAAGGAGAAGAAAGAAGAGTGACCATATACTGGGTACTTTTTATATAGTTGGTTGGATAAATTCCACTAGTACTTCTAATTTCTACTAATTTTGACTTTGAAAACAAATGAGGATATACAAAGACTTGTGCCCCCCTTTCCTGCCACTCCCAAGTTGGAGAATTCCCACTTCATTATTATATTCACACTATCACTGTTATTATAAAGAAATTCCCAATCGGAATCTAAAGAAACTCTTCACCAAGCAAATAAAAAACAAAAGTTTAGCAAGAAGAGAATTTAAGTTTTCTATAAATTGTCAGTTTGATAGAAAGAGAAATCCTATTGTCAAAGGAGAACCTATATTGTCAAATACAGACCTTTGGGGGCACACCATCTATTATTTCCATTTCTAAATACACTTCCAAGTTTCATTTTACTTTATGTAGTTAATGGCATAGGTAGAAGTCAGCATCCATTAATTCTTGGTAAAATGCAAATGACAATGTTGGATTAATAGGAGTTCTTCCAACATTTTCTCTGCAGTTATTTACAACAGATATGTGAATCAACATATAACCTTTCTGCAGTGTTTAATTTACCCTTTCTGTAGTCTCCTAGCAGTTACTAAAGGCTTAAAAATATCAGTATCTTAATAGAATGGCCTTGTCATTACAGGTTTATTTCAAAACTAAATTTACCTTCTTTTGAAAGGCAGAATGATTAAATGTTTGTCCAATCCAAAGATGCCAAAGGAAATAAATCCCTATGGAAGAAGAAAAGTTATAGTTATGAGTTCAACACTAAAACATTAAGACTGGGAAGTTATGGAAGTCACCATATTTAGTGCAGAGGGAAGCAAATCCATAGTGATTAGAGCAATATTGTAAGGCAGGCCCTCTAAAGTTTAATGCCTGGAGGCAGTTATGATACTTGGCTGCCTCTTTCCAGTCACCTATCCTACGAATTATGTTGGATAACCGGTTTAAACCAGTACTGAGCGATCACATCTTCATGCTAGCTTACTGAAGAAAAATGGAAATATTTAAAAGTTTTATGTCGGGGTGCCTGAGTGGCTCAGGCGTTAAGCGTCTGCCTTCAGCTCAGGTCATGGTCCTGGGGTCCTGGGATCGAGCCCTGCATCGGGCTCTCTGCTCTGCGGGAAGCCTGCTTCTGCCTCTCCCACTCCCCTTGCGGGGTGTTCCCTCTCTTGCTGTGTCACTGTCAAATAAATAAATAAATAAATCTTAAACAAAAAAATAAAAGCTTTATGTCTTTTTTCACCTCTTTTTAAAAAAGAAAATAAATTAGCTCCTATTGTGCTTAGGTATTTATTGTTTTTCTGTTAACACTTGAGAAATGATAGAATTATATAGTATCTGGTTATAATGAAGTAACTGAACAAACTTTATGTGAAATGAAGTTGGCTAGGTGCCTAGGGAAAGGCTTTGAAGGATTTGGGGGTGATGAAGCAAAATGGCACCAGAAGTCAGCCACACATCAGGACAATTGGGACTGCTTGGAGAGGCAGGAGCCTGGGAGCTGCCATTTGTCAGGCACAGTGGGATAAGGGTCTAAGTGCAAGTTGGTGGGAGGTGGGATGAAGAATGTAACATATTGCACGAAGGATCTACCTTTCTTCACCCCCAAACTACAAACAACCAAAAAGGAATGATCTTACTACAACACCTATATAGAATGTGGTGGTGGTGGTGTGTGGGGGTGTATATCTCTCTCCTTTGAAACACTTGGGCCATTAGCTGTGGGGGCATCATTTCAAATGCAACATTCCTGGCATTAGCTTCTTTGTGAAGCCTTCTCAGTGCCAGTCTTGGGGTGACTCAGCCTGGAGTGGCTTTCCTGAATACAAAATGCTGAGTGAGACTGAGTTTTCAACCTAGTATTTTATAGGTCTTGGGTACAGAATCAGATCTTACATAGAATCACAAAGTGAGGCGGGCATCGAGTAGCTTGGGATACTCAAGTCTATCTGTAATAAACTGAATGGGTCACTTATCTATCTGGACAGAGTCATTTTGCTCCCACAATAATGGCAAAACAAACTGGAAATATTTCAAGAAATTAATGTGCCTGGGTGGCTCAGTCATTAAGCGTCTGCCTTTGGCTCAGGTCATGATCCCAGGGTCCTTGGATTGAGCCCTGCATCGGGCTCCCTCCTCCTCGAGGAGTCTGCTTCTTCCTCTCCTTCTGCCCCTGCTTGTGTTCCCTCTCTCACTATCTCTCTCCGTCAAATAAATAAATAAAATCTTTAAAAAAAAAAAAGAAATTAATGTTAGGGTAAAAAGTGTGGGACTCTTTACTGATAAATGTTAACTGACTCGGTTGATTATTAAAACCCCGTGATTTCAAACACAGTATTTTTTCAACCCGATACTTAATCTGGGGACTAATATTCTCTAATTAAAAGGTAAGGGATTAAAAACAGAATCACATTTTGAACTTTACACATAAAAATATCTTCCCAATACATAAAACATCACTTACTCTTAAATATCCATTTTAATAGTGACATAAAAACAATAGCACCTATTATATTAGTTCTTCATGGAATTTTAGTTTCTAATTTGTAAACTGGGAATGATAATGTCTACTTTGTAGGTATTCTTGTGACGTTTAAGCAAGATGACTAAAGTATCATGCTTATCCCTGGCCAAAATTTATTTATCTACCACATGATTTTCTAAAAAGATTTAAGTACCTATTGTTCAAGAAACATTGAAATGTAAATGAAATGATGTTCATCAATTTAAGTGATGAAACTAAAGGCTCAGAGAAGGTAAGTCTTCTTCCCAAAGTGACTTATTAAGACCATCACAAAGTTTAAAAAGAAGCTGGAACATCTTGTTCCTGCTTAAATTATCATTCTTTATTTTAAAACCAAAGCAAAAAACGATTTGGTGTTTCTGACTGAAACACTGCGGGTGCATTCTGAGGACTTGAACCAACACGGAGACCGGCAGCCCCTGCCAGCTGTCATGTACCAGCAGCCGGCAAACCAACTAAACCCTTTCGATTTAAAAGAAAACAACAACATCCGCACCACTGCCCCCCAAACAGCCCATGCAGGAAAACAGAAAAAAGCCTTCCAAGTTCTCAGGGAATAAATACCTGGCCAAAGTTAAATACAGCACAGAAAAACTGTAACTCAACATAGAGTCTTCCAGGTTCTTGGTTGAATAGCCACCACAAACAACTGGAAAGATTCTGTAAAGGAAGGTGAAAATAGTATTTTAAAATGAAGCTAGCTAATCATTTCTCTCTATCCAGAACACAGTACAATAACTTATCTGCTTAATAATCAGGCAGAAAAAGACTAAAAGGAAAAACACCGACAGAATATAGAGGCTTTGTCTTTTGAACAAGAGGTGTCAACCTCTCCTCTTGACAGATGTCATTCAAACAGCATCTAATTTGATCAGACTTGAAGCAAGAAGACATGAGCCATAATACAGAAGCTTACATAATACATCAGGACTGCCGACTAGCCTAAGACAGGACTGATTTTAAAATTAGTTCTACACAATCAAAACAATCACATCGCTAAGCGGCCGTTCTTGGCAGCATTTACTTTTTGATTATTTTTCTTAAACAGCAGTTAAAATGGTGCTGGCTGATAGCATTCTATGTAACAAGCATCCCCACGTAAAAAGGTTTCTTCATACGTTATATGGTCCATCTCCCATCTCTAGGCAAGTTACACTTGAACCATCTCAAAGAATTATATAATAGTAACTGATAATTCACAAAAGAGGACATAAAACTAATTCTAAAAGCCCCTAGTAATCAGAGAAATGCATTGAAAAAATAAAGTGCTATATTTCACTTACAAAATTATCAAATTTTAAAATTTATAACATTCAGTGCTGGTGAGAGTACTTTTACAAATCTATACTACTCCTTCAGAAAACAATTTGATAGAATGCATCCAAAGGCACTGAAGTATTTGTACTCTTTGATCCAGATTTCCCAACCTTGAGAGTCTATCATACGGAAATATTGCATGGAGATGTTTATTTAAGCATTTTGAAGAACTAGGAATAATCATCCCTAAGAAAGTGGTTGAGAAAATGATAATGTATCTCCTCTATGGTTTATTAAGGAGCCATTTAAAGTAACAGTTCGGAACAACTGTGTAGCAAGATGAAAATGGTTGACATAGGTGACAAAGCAGGGTATAAATCTGTATGACAATTAGAACAATGAAAAAATGTATTAAAAATAGAAGGTGGTAATCTCACAACTATCTATTGTATGAAGTGGTTGTGTTATTTTCATAACGAAAAATTCTGTTTAAAAGCTTATTTATCTGAGGAATGTCTCCTGCGAGACCACGTAGGCATTTACCCACTGAGGTCAGTCTTGGAAGGAATACGTTAGAATAAGTGGCCCCGTACACAACGTGGGGATACCTGGTTTTACCAGATTCTAGGTTCAGAGAATAGAGTAAACGACTCTAAGCAGAAGAGGCTATTGGGGCATTTAGGCAGCAGAGTGCTGTGAATTCTTCATTCCCCTTGGTCCCCAAAACAGCTCAAGATCAGGATTCAGATTGGCCTCCTTGTCACCCACCCCTCCCAGAAGCAGCAACTAAGTTTCCCCCAGATGCCTGAATAAAATCTTTTCCAAACATTTAAAGAAATGGCCCCAAAACAAAAATCAGAAGAAACATTTACAGCAAACAGGCCAATAATGAGAAGTAAACACAGCAACACATGACGAGTCAGTTGCTGGTCTCCACTCTGTAGATACTGCTCTTCTTCCTGGACTAACATGCAGGTCTGGGAGTTACAGCGACTCACACAATGATCATCTATAAGACAGTAAGTACAACAATTTGTAATCAGAGCTTTTTATTTGAATGCATTTTAAATTCATAATGACTTTCGAAGCAAACCAGCGCATATGCACATTCAGCTCAGCATCAGTATATTATTTTAGATGAAATCTGAGGAAGGCTCCTTCATGTGGTCTCAGGAGAGTTCTACTTGTCAAGTGGTTTCATCTGACAAAATACAAGTAGGATGCCATAGTTCCCTTCTACACTATTTAACGGTATAACGCATATATTTTTTAAGACCAGGTTTACTGTATCTACTTATAGAATTTTTCTTTTCTTTTTTTTTAAGATTTTATTTATTTATTTGACAGAGAGAGAGCAAGAGAGGGAACACAAGCAGGGGGAGAGAGAGAGAGAGAAGCAGGCTTCCCGCTGAGCAGGGAGCCTAATGCGGGGCTCGATCCCAGGACCCTGGGATCACGACCTGAGCCGAAGGCAGACGCTCAACTGACTGAGCCACCCAGGCGACCCCTCTACTTATAGAATTTTCTACACCAAGAACACACAAATACTTTTTATTAAAGTAGGATCATACAAAGGCACAGTTTGGCAGCGTGCTTTTTTTTTTTTTTTTTACTTAGCAACACTGGGTGATTCCCTCATGCCATTAGCTGTTATTATAGCCATTAGCTATACATTATAAATATATATATCTTAATTTCTTTTTTTAAGGCTCAATTAATAGCTCATGTTTCATCTGTAACAAATCTACATATTGGTCATGGATATCCTAGTTTGGCTAACTGTAACACAAATGTACTACTCCCCCTTGCCTTTCATTAAAGAGTTTAAAATCTGCCTTAGAAAAGACCTTTAAGAAATCAAAACTGTTATACACCATTCTGTTGACATGAGAAGCAAGTCCAAATCACAGGTATGACCCTTCTCTGGCCTAGACTAGCTAGAGGGGAGGGGCCTTTCTCAAGAAACCCGTGTTTTCCTGCCTCAGCTCCACTATGTCCATGGCCCCCAAAGCAGGGGAAAACATTTTTTACGAAATGGATGTCTAGTCTAACATACAGTCTGATTTTAAAAAGTCAAAGATGAAAACCACAATTTTATAGCTCTTAACCCTCAAGGTAACCATAAAAATCTGTATTTCCTAGCACCCCTTTCCAGAAAGAGACATATGCAGTCATTAAATGTGGTCCAACATTGCGGCTTACGGGACGGGGGAAGCGCACAGTGTTGCTATGTGAAAAGAAAGCAGGCTGCCAAACTGTCTCTCTAGTATGATCCTACTTTAATAAAAATTATTTGTGTATATCTTAGTGTACAAAAATTCTATCAGTATATATAATAAACCTGGTCTTAAAATACTGCACACAGATATTACAAAAATGGATAAAAATAAATTTTATTATCTTTCATTTGCCTTTTTTACACATTGCAACATTGATTTTGCCTTTGTGCTGTGCCAGTGTTTTGGGGATGAGGAATTAACTATACTGCTAAGCTCTAAAAATTCTCCCTTGTTCATGGTTTGATTTCCTCTAGCCTTTCTTTATTTCAGGCGTAAGGAATGATACTAAATTATATGAGTAGATGAAGTCCATATGTGATGGCTTTCTTTCTATATGACTTTTACAAAATAGGATCAGAAAATGAAAGAAGCTCCTATATAAAAGACTTTTCAGGAATCAGCATTATTCATGAAGAAAATGACAGATAAGAAAAGCATAATTTCCAGAGACAAAAAAATTGTTAAATTACATATTGAATTTGTTGACAGACTTTACTATTAGGTATATTGTGTAGGGAGAAAACATAAGGAGAAAAGCCTTGAGGATTGTGATGTAAAGTAAAGAAACATTAGTTTAGGAAAGTGGCATACAAAACTGAAAGACAGTTTAACTGAACACCAAATGGGGTTTCCTAGCAGAAAGTCAGTGAAGGCCCAACATCTGATATATTTTCACTTCTTTCTATAGAAATGTGAGTTCCACTATTTAAGATTCATTACTAGCCAGTAGACAGCAGCCAAATATAAACCCTGCTTGCCTAATAACAACCACTACTATTGCAACTATGTTTAATGAGCATTTACTATGTATTCCACACACTGTGCTAAGTGATTTGCATACATCCTTATTTATAATCCTCACATTTCTTAAATAAAAGTGAAATGCCTTTGACAACAATACAGTTGACATATATTTCACCATGTCTTAAGAGGGCTTTTGGGGGTTTCCCTTTCTAACTTAATTACAAATAAGCATAATCAACTGAAAGTGCATTGCAATTTCACGTAAGTGTGTTCAGTTGTTTTAAATAATTTGAATTCCATTGTGCGTGCATGGGTATGATCCAAGATAGTGGCATAGGAACACCCTGAACTCATCCCCCATAGATACACCAAATCTACCACTCTATACGGAATAACTCCCACCTAAAAAGAACTGAAACTAGCTGGCCCGCTTCCTCCAACACAAGGGAAAAATGGCCACATCAAGCCAGGTAGGAAAGGCAGAAATGCAATCTCACCGAAAAGCTCACCCTGGGTACAGTGACTCACTATACAGATCCTCACAGAAGGATCTCACAGGCTTAGAACTTCCTGAGCAGTGAGGGGATTGTGCTCCACATCAGGGACCCCAACCCTTGGGACCTGTACCAGACATATGAGGCCCCAAGAAAGTCTGGTTCTGGAAACATGGGGCTTATGTCCAGGGGGCCCAAGGGCTACGGGGATCTGAGATACTCCTTTTGAGGGGCTCATGCATGGACTCACCCGTCTGGGGAACCAGCACAAAGGCAGCTGTTTGAGAAGTGACTAGATTATATGTGAAGGAGATTCAACTGCTAATCTTAAAAGATTCACTGGAATTTTTCTTGTGGATGGAGCTGCTGGAGAGTGCCAGTTTTTACACTCTCCCTCTACCTTGCCAGGGTAGGCAGGTGCGTGCAAACATAACATGGCTCAAACCAAGGCACGTCCCTCCCAGAATGCTCTTCTCCAGCTCTGCTAAAATTGCAGGTGTGCCCCGCCCCGGACGCTCTTTCCTGGCACAGGCCTGTCCCACACCCAACACTCTCCCGCAGCCTTGCTAAAGCTGGTGGGTGAACTCAGTCCACACAGAAGCCACCCACTTGCCTGGCTCTGGTGGCTCGGAGGTTTGTGCTTCTAGGCTCCACAGGTTTGTAACATTTGGAAAGATAGTTCTGGACAGGATACCACATCCTGGGCAATACACAGACAGCAAACTGAAATACACCCCCAGAGTGCACATGAAAAAGACCCATTTGATCGCCCAGGAGCTTTAACCTGAGGGACAGGCTTCAGGTTAAAGCCACACGTCTAAAGGCTACAGAAGCACTCTGGAGGATGCAGGCAGAGACAGCATCTGTGCAAACCCCACCCCCCACCTCGGCCTTGCCACAGCTCACTGGTATCTCCCAGAAAGGATCTTTTACACTTGACTGAAGCCCTAATTCTTGGCAATTGCACCCAGGGGATACCTTCAGATCTCCTGGTCTAGAGGTCAGCAGGGTCTACGATTGTGGTCCCACAGGACTGTATATATTTGCATACTTTAAGAGCTGCTGCCTGAGAATCTGGCTTCCAATCAGCCTGAATCTAGGTCCCTCCCTTCGCACCCGTCCTAGCACACCCTCAACAACTGGGACTATCAAGAATAAGTCAGGCTAGACAATCACAAAGGGTCTAGAGACAACCAAGAGCTAGGGCAAGGTTGAAAACAGACTGGTGGTTATCAGAGGGGAAGGGGGTTAGGGGAGGGTGAAAAGAGTGAAGGGGGTCAATTGTATGGCCACGGATGGTAACTAGACTTATTGTGGTGATCACTGTGTAATATGTACAAATATTGAACTATTATGTTGTACACCTTATACTAATATAATGCTACATACCAATTTTAGCTCAAACAAATAAATAAACTGAAATTCAGACCACAAATGTAATTCAGTCTTCTACTCTGTATGTCAAAGTTCATTACTTTCAAAGATTTTTCTTATTTTATAAGAAAGGGTATATTTAAAGTCTATAGATTCAAAATGTAATTAAGCACTAATTGGTCCTGGCCCCAAAGGAGATGAGTGGGGGAAAAGTCTTAGCTGCTAAAATAAGAAAAGAGTCCCTCCCCCAAAAAATGGTACTTGGGGCAAACTTCTTGGAATTATCACATGGGTTAAATTTATTGGAAAACATGTCTATAATACTACCAATTACTATATTATAAGAACTTAATTTTTTTAATATTATTTTTTTAAGTAGGCTCCATGTCTAGTGTGGAGCCCAACTCAGTGTCTGAACTCACAACCCTGAGACCAAGACCCGAGCTGAGATCAAGAGTCGGATGCTTAACCAACTGAGCCACCCGGGTTCCCCGAACTTTATTTTTTTAAATGAGTATCCTATCTATGCACAATTATTATCCTATTAGCACTTTTCCCCATCTTATTTGAGAATACATAAGCAGTGTAGCTTCTATGAAATCCTGAGCCGAAATCTTTTACGGTGTAAGGAGAGGAATCTTCTGTTCCTTAGGCCCATCCTCATGGCCTGGAGGCACTTACTTTTCTCAAACGAAGGAGTCACAGGCCCACTGGCGCCTGTGTTTCCTACTGTCTCGGTGGATGGGCAGTGCAATCCACCATCTCCCATTGAGCAGGAGCAGCAACCTATATAGATAAAATAACATAGGAGAATAAGGCCCAACCACAACAGAAATGGACAACTTCAAGAGATGCCAAACCAGACCAAACCAGACAACCCACCCACTCATACACACACACAAATTTCCCATGCAGCCACAATGGAAATGTGTTCACACGGTGTCTATCGAGAAGAATTTACATGTGCTTATACAGAGGTTAACATTTAAGGAGTGGCAGGAAAGGACCAGCTCCTCTGTATATTGTCTCCTCGTTGCATGACAAGGAAGAGTGTTTTGATCCATGCTGCTTTTATTAGTTACCACTGTGCTTTGAGAACTAAGAATTTAAACACTTTCTTCAAAAACAGCTTTTTTTCATCACATCAACGCTCTATTGTTTACTGTAGTTAATTGAAGCTCCTTGGTCTGAATTTGAAAGCTCCTGAGGACTTGGCCCCTCTTACCCTATCCAACCATCCCCACTGTCCAACAAGGCGTCTTCCTTCTTTCCGGACAATTCTTTAGTGTCCTCCACAAACCCCATGCCTTTTCGGGTCCGCAGACCTGGTTAGACACATGTGCAATTCCCACTCTTGTCAATTCTTTGAAATCCTCTCTTCCTTTATGTTCAGCTCAAGACTTGCTTCTTTCAAGAAGGTGTTTCCTTTTTTTTTTTTTTTTAAAGATTTTATTTATTTATTTGAGAGAGAGAGAGACAGCACGAGAGGGGAGAGAGTCAGAGGGAGAAGCAGGCTCCCTGCTGAGCCAAGAGCCATGTGGGACTCAATCCCAGGACTCCAGGACCATGACCTGAGCCGAAGGCAGTTGCTTAACCAACTGAACCACCCAGGCGCCCAAGAAGGTGTTTCCTACTAGTCTAGAAAATGCAGTCAAAACAATTCTATTTTTTCGTCTTTTCAAACATATACTGCTGAAAAGCTCTTGCTGCTTTATAGGTAGATTGGTTTATGGAAGTTCACTGAGACATCTGCTATAGAGCTATAGTTTCTCTTCTACGTAGTCAGAGGATGCACGCGGTGTCCTTTAAACACAGATATAAGACATGGTGCTCCTTGACATGGATTCTTTTTTTTTTTTCTGGTGTGGATTCTAATAGATAATAAGTTCAGTGATAAATTGTATTAAAATTTAATATGCTAGAAAAAGGAATAATGCCTAGGCTGAAATTTTCATTGATAATATGACTTAATTCTTCAGCAGTGTTCTTAACAGAAAAAGATTTCAAAGTATAAAAACTACAATCTATAATAAGCTATTACAAGTGTCTTTCTAAATTTAAGATAATGATGCCATCTCAAGGTTAAAATAGAACCACAGTATAATAGAAAAGAAAATACAGAGATCATCTGGCCTAGCCTTCCTATCTTCAGAAATTTGAAGGCTTAAGTCAGCTAAGATGAAATTGTTCAGAAAACAGATATAAAGCCAGCCCATTCCAATGACATACATACCGGGCATGCACGCGGGTACTCACATGATTACAGCCACCACGAAAAGTGCTATGGCAGTTTTTATCTTCTAACATAAGAAGGATACATAACTAGCGTATTAGCCTTCTCTTTTATAACTAAGCCTTTGATCTCATATTAAAAGGTTAATAGGTTAATTTCCCTTTTAGTCATAATTCCACACTTACAACATGTGCAAATCATGGGTCTCTGACAAATGCATAGCAAGGAATAGAGGTGAGTGAACTATTTTGGGTAACCGAAATTTGGGGAGACCAGGCTGGACATCAAATGTGTTATGTGTTAACACTACTAGCAAAGCAGAAGAGAGCAGGATTTGCAGGAGGAGAATAACCACACGGGTTTTCCCCTCGGAACATGGGTGAACAGGCAAATAAACAAGTACTTTGCCATGGCAATTTGTAGGGTAGCTTCAGAAAATCATGGTGCAGGGGCACCTGGGTGGCTCAGGCAGTTAAGCATCTGCCTTTGGCTCAGGTCATGATCCCAGGGTCCTGGCATCGAGCCCCGCATCGGGCTCCCTGCTCAGCAGGAAGCCTGCTTCTCCTTCTCCCTCTGCCTCTCCCCCCACCCTCGTTCCCCCCCAGCTTGTGCTCTCTCTCTCTCAAATAAATAAATAAAATCTTAAAAAAAAAAAAAGAAAGAAAATCATGGTGTAACTTATCCAGCCATGTATCTACCCATCTATTAACAAATATTACTAAACACTTACAGTAAGACTGATACCACGCTAGGTGCCGAGGCTATAATGTTGGGCAAATCAGTCATAGCACTTATAGTCTAGTGGGTTATACAGATAGGTTCAACAGCAGTTATAAAACAGTGAGATACAAGGAGAGGGAAATAGAAACACTAAGGAAGATTTCCTATGGAACCAAGCGATAGCTGTCCTCTGGCTCTTTATTTATTTACATTACAGGACAAGCTGGTTTTCCTGCTGGAGATGATGATGACTGAGTTTATTTATTTATTTTTTTAAAAGATTTTATTTATTTGACAGAGGGAGATATAGCGAGAGAGGGAACACAAGTAGGGGGAGTGGGATTGGGAGAAGCAGGCTTCCCGCGGAGCAGGGAGCCCGATGTGGGGCTCGATCCCAGGACCCCGGGATCATGACCTGAGCCGAAGGCAGACGCTTAACGACTGAGCCACCCAGGCGTCCCCTGATGACTGAGTTTAAAGAACATCTATGGTGCACTTTATTTGCTATTTTTAAAATACAGATAGAGGGGTGCCTGGGTGGCTCAATCAGTTAAATGTTTGCCTTCGGCTCAGGTCATGATCTCAGGGTCATGAGATCAAGCCCCATGTCAGGCTCTGTGCTCAGTGGGGAGTCTGCTTGAGATTCTTTCTCTCTGCCCGCACCCCCTCCACCGCCCCACATGCACTTGCTTTCTTGTACTCGCTCTCTCAAAATAAATAACTAAATCTTTAAAAATAAAATACAGGTAATGGTGGCAGCAAAAGGCTCTGGGCTTAAGACACTTTGTTTTGTGTTCCCCACACACACTGTCAGGCCTTCTGTAGCCAGTTCTGGAACACTCATGGGGGAAGAAGACACCGAGAGCCAGCTAGAGCTGTGGTCCGCAGGATCCTTTATAGGATCACTGTAGCTGTCCACAAAGGAAGTGAGGAAGGAGAGGGTACTGGGCAGCATCCGAAAAGTACTCTAGACTTCAAGAAAGCAACTTTTAAAATTTTAGTGAACACATCATAAGGAGAATTCTTGAACCTCCATTTTAAAAGGGAAAATGGTCAAGAGGGCTCAAAAGAATGAAATTCTGATGCTGAAATCACAAAGGATCTAACAAAAAAATGAGCGAGCACCATTAATAATATGAACTAAAGGAGTACTGACCAAGGCAGGGATAATGGTGTAAGTCAGGAAGTGGCAAACTACAGTCCTGTGTAGTAGGACCTTACAGTCCTATGAAGTAAGGATTATCATCATCAGATATGTAAACTGAGGCAGAGGGAACTTTCCCAAGATCAAAGAGCAGTAAACTGTGGAGTCAGGACTTGAACCCAGCCATCTGGCTCCAGTCCCCGTTTTTAGCCACTGTCCTCTATACTTTCAGTTTGGCATGGAGGAAGGGAGAGAGGGCGGAGAAGGCAACATAAAATGGTAAGATCTGTGGGACTTTCCTCTTTTTACAACAAAGATAGATTTTTTAAATCTTACTCTCTTTTCTTAATCGTTCACTTACTGACATTTACAATTAATAGTTTTGAGATCAGTCATCCCTATATGCCACAAAGTCTCTGAACAAAATAGGTACTGGCACTTACACTCCCAGGCACAATGCTTTATGTTTATGAAATCTCCACAGGCACCAGGGAATCCAAAATGCATACTCTTATTGCTGAGTTCCCTTCGCGAATTGAAGTTGTTAACACTTATTAACAAAGTTACTAGTTAGGAACATATGTTTACTTGGAGGATTGGCAAACATTTGCTGTAAAGGCCCAGATGATAAATATTTTGGGCTTTGCAGGCCCCTGGGTCTCTGGTGAATGGCTGAACTCTACCAACATAGCGTGAAAGCAGCCCAGGGAAAATACATAAATGAATGAGCACAGGTGGTTTCGAATAAAACAATATGACCACGGAAATTTAAAGTTCATATAGCTTCCAAGTTTTAGAAATTTTTAGAAATTTTTCTTCAACCCTTTAAATATGTAAAAATTATTCTTAGCTCTTGGGCCACACAGGACCGGGTGGTGAATCACATTTGGCCTGCAGACCATGGTTTGCCTATTCCTGACTATTACTGACTCTGCTTAACCAGGTCTTCTTGAGTTCATTTTATTGATGGTGCTCACCTGATACACTATTGTCCAATTTACAAGTGTTTTAAGTGCTTAGTTTCCTAGAAAGGGACTTCCTTCAGTTGTTACTTTCTCCTAAGCTCTCAGGTCCAAAGAAGTTTTAGGATTTAACATAAGATTATCCTCATAAAAGATTTATAAATGTGACTCTAATGAAGAACTCACAAGCTCTTTCTATTATTGACTATTATTCAAGTCCCTCATTTGACAAATACACATGATAGTCAAGATACAGTTCAAGAAATGTCCCTGAAGCGAAACATTTAGGATACATGCTCTACGGACACGTAGGAGTTTCTTTATATGTCAGGATCATACTTGTTTCTGGGATAGAACTTGTAAAAGGTTCTGGTTCATTTGCTGGCACTGGACTCTCCTCAAAAGCGGCATTCCCAGGCTCTGCTGCTTTGTGGTTCTGAGACTGGTTGAAACCTTCATAGCGTCCTGCTTGGGTGGTGTGGTTCATACACATGAGTGATACGCCAGCTATCGTGATGCTGCAGAACAGGGTGACTGCTGTGATGATCATCTGCCAAAAGTGCAAAGAGACATTAGGCCACGTTTCACAGTTCCAGCTTGATCATCTTAGTAGAGTAGCTGAAGGGAACTTTTGTTTGGTGGGAAATGCAGTATCTCCACAGCTATAAATGCTCTAGATCAGTGGTTTTCAAAAAAGAGTAAGAATATGAAAGGGAGTAAGTTACTTGAGGAGAAATTAGGATTTGCTCGGAATCCTAAGATTTCTAGATGCTTCTTTCACTATCCATCAATGTCACTGGTTTCCTCTATAAGTAAGCTAAATGATTGCTTACAGACCTTTTTTATTTCAAAGTGTTTGCTTGCTTTAATCCGTAATTCAAGCGTACTTCAACTAGAGACTCTGTTATGGTAATAATACTAACCATAAATAATTCTGGCTACTACTAATTGAATACTAACAAATGCCAGCGCTAGTCGAAGTCTTTTATATGTGTAATCTTATTTATTCTCACAACCCAATAAAATTCAAAATTACAAAACAGAAAAAAGAGGATAAGAAATAAAAATCTTTTGAAGGTTTGTTTGTTTGTTTGTTTCAAACACACATCCTTGGGTCCTAACCCTAGAGAATTCTGATCAGCAGATACACTATTGCTTCTCAAGCACCTTTTTCCCCAGATACTTACTGTTCTGAAATTTATAATAGGATTGAAAGTCAAGAACATGGCTTTTATTATTACTGCTAACTTATTAAATAGCTTTAAATTAATCACTCTTTCCTCCAGTAGAGGAAACATAATTCATAAGTGAGTTTAAAAAGACCCAGTAAGTTTTGAGCATTTGGAAATCCTCAGCTAAAAAGGGATGTAGGGGCGCCTGGGTGGCTCAGATGGTTGGGCATCTGCCTTCGGCTCGGGGACCTGGGATTGAGCCCCGCATTGGGTTCCCTGCTCAGCGAGAAGCCTGCTTCTCCCTCTCCTTCTACTGCTCCCCCTGCTTGTGCTCTCTCGCTCTGTCAAATAAATAAATAAAATCTTTAAAAATAAAAAAATAAAAACGGATGTAGACCTATAAAATCTTTACCACAGTTTGAGTTGTGACTTAAAGTGATATAGGACCACCAGTGGGGTATGCAGTAAATTGGAATCGATTTTCAAAATAACTTTAATGTAAGTATAGCAAAACACAGGAACAAGCGAAAAAGAGACGTTCCCAAGAACAGAACTGTAACCTCTTCTTACCTGCTCCTTTCCATAAAAGAAGGCTGAGTCAATGCTATCTCCACTATGTTTTCCAGTTATCAGAAGAACACCAACAAGGAGAGCAGGAATTCTGTAATAAGGTTTAGAGAAAGAACGAGAAGATGAATAGTAACCGTGTATATGGAAACATGTAAGCAAGCAGAAAACTATCAACTTACCCCCAGCCAGATATTATGATGATTCCAACAGGAATTTGTACACTCCCTCTCTTTTTCAAAAGAAACAAAGAAATTGCCAGAAGGCCTAAGAACATGAAACAGAAATTGAAAGGTAGATAATTACTCTCAATGTTGGTTAGACCTCATAGAACTTTTACCAAGCTTATTTCAATGGTAGTCTGTGGTTTAGGCCCTAGAATTTACTCTTTCTAAATAAATACTGTCCCCAATATTTTGAAGCAAGTTTGTCTCAAAATCATTCGTTTTTTTCCCTCCTGTGTTATTTCTTTACTCAAATCTTGTTTTATATATGAAGAAATTTTCAAAAGCCCAAATCAGCTTATTCTTTTGACTGGTATTCGGAATCTATATATTTGTTAAGAAAAAATTTCAACTGGATACCAAACAAGTCTAAAAATAAAAATACCTTCACTCTGCTGGTGCAAAGAAAGTATAGGCAATTCTTACCCAGGTTTAATTTTTGGAAAATGCCCCAAGTCTAAAGGACAGAACTTAATACAAATATAACGTGAACTTAATACAAAAACAAATGTTTTAAAACTCTTGAGCGTTCCTTTTATCTTAAACCCAATTATTTATACAAGTAACATCCTATTTAATAAATCTTACATAGTTACAGAATCTTAGAACTTCAGAGTTGGAGGAGATCACTGTTTTAAATTAACACCTTCATTTTATAGATATGGACGCAAGGGTTTGCCCAAGCCACATAGCCAGCAGAGGGCAGAGCAGGACTACAAACTCTATCTGTTTCTAAAGCTCAGATCCATGGGCCCCCCTAGGGTTCTTAAGACATATTCTGCGGGATCTAGAAATTTCTGTGAGAAATTTTAAGCCTATTTGGTATATTTTCTTTCTTTTTTTTTTATGTAAAGATTTTATTTATTTATTTATTTGACAGAGAGAGAGAGACAGTGAGAGAGGGAACACAAGCAGGGGGAGTGGGAGAGGGAGAAGCAGGCTCCCTGCTGAGCAGGGAGCCCGACGCGGGGCTTGATCCCAGGACTCTGGGATCATGACCTGAGCCGAAGGCAGATGCTTAACGACTGAGCCACCCAGGCACCCCGTATTTGGTATATTTTCAATGATAATCATCTAGATGCCCATCTTATAACCAAACCACTGTCTCATGATCTCAGAGCTAACATTTGGTTTAACATTAAGCTTGAGCCAAGTGAAGGCCAAATATCACGACACATGGTCCAAGTGAAGGTTCTGTGGTAGTCAGTCTGAAGAGAGAAAAGCAGTGAGATGAACCAGGTCATAAGCCCACACATGAAAGTAAAGGCAAGCCACGCTAAAAAAAAAAATCCTAACCAGAGAAATGAGTTCCATTTCACATTTCAAGTTGTGATTCAGATTAGCAAAACAAGATCCTTTGTCATGTCATTTATGTTGCTAATTAGAATTACGGAGTTTGTAATTGGGACTCTCATCTGTGAATCTGCTTCGGTTTTAAAGCTGTATATTGGCTATAGATAAGGAACTCATACCCAGACCTAACATTGTACAGATTAAGTAACACTGTGCTAGGATCATACAAATGAACATGGAGGCTCTTTCCAGGGCACCCACACCGTACTCAAACTCAAGAGGTACTTTAATACCACTGCTCCTTCCTAAATACATTCGTGCACTCTATAGTTCTAGGTTTTCAAAGTGCCAGGGAAAAAAGGTACACAACAGTGTGCCAACTGTTATGGTAGTGAGGGCACTCTTTGAAATTCTAAAGGACATCATTCTTGCCTTATGCAAAGACTGATACACAAATAGGCCCAGGCTAGCCCTGGGTCTCTCTTGGGTTGCTGGCGGAAGCCGTGAGAGTTCCTGCTTGAATCAGTTAAGCTCTTTGGGTCTCACTGAACTCATTTGAAAAATAAAGAACTTACACTACACCAGTGTTTCCAAAGTGTAAGGGACTATAGGTGGTATAAGGGTGAAATTTTTTGACTAGTTTTGTATTTATTTTAACATGTATGTGAAAAACTAGCACACGAAACCTGGGATTTGGGCGCCTGGGTGGCTCAGTTGGTTAAGCGACTGCCTTTGGCTCAGGTCGTGATCCTGGAGTCCCAGGATTGAGTCCCACATGGGGCTCCCTGCTCGGCAGGGAGTCTGCTTCTCCCTCTGACCCTCCTCCCTCTCATGCTCTCTGTCTCTCATTCTCTCTCTCAAATAAATAAATAAAATCTTTAAAAAAAAAAAAAAAGAAAGAAATACAAGGGTTTTATGGGGTACCTGGGTGGCTCAGTCAGTTAAGCGCCTGCCATCGGCTCAGGTCATGATCCTGGAGTCCCAGGATCGAGTCCCGCATCAGGCTCCCTGCTCAGCGGGGAGTCTGCTTCTCCCTTTCACCCTCCCCCCTCTCATGCTCTCTTTCTCTATCTCATTCTCTCTCAAATAAATAAATAAAATCTTAAAAAAAAAAAAAAAGAAAAGAAACCTGGGATTTTATTAATATAAGTCTCAATTTATTTAAGTAAAAAAAGTGAGTGAATTTTAAGGAAAAACAAAAAAAGGACAAGTGGCATGCAGATACGGCAAAAATTGTGAAGATGGTATGCAAATGAGTGAAACTGAAAATGGCTGAATAGCATGATTTAAAATGACACTTTAGGTCTAAAATTCTGTTACAGCATAATAATCTCACGGTTAAAGGACACCCTCACTGGGATCCAGGAATTCAGAACAAGGTCTGTGGAACACTTGGGGATTTTTGATACACTGATCTATTTGCTGCTCTCCTATTAATTAGCGTTAATAAACCTAGTATTGGAGCTCGGATTGTCCATCTGTATCTGGAAAAAAAAAAGTCTTCAGGCCCTTTTACTTGATATCTCCTGAAAACTCTAATGCTAGGGCGCCTGGGTGGCTCAGTTGGTTAAGCGGCTGCCTTCGGCTCAGGTCATGATCCTGGAGTCCTGGGATCGAGTCCCGCATCGGGCTCTCTGCTCAGCAGGGAGTCTGCTTCTCCCTCGGACCCTCCCCCCTCTCATGCTCTCTGTCTCTCATTCTCTCTGTCTCAAATAAATAAATAAAATCTTTAAAAAACAAACAAAAAAAACCCCTCTAATGCTACACAAGATGTGTCCCTAGCTAGATCCCAAGACCTGACCTTTACTGCTCATCTGCCTGTACCCATATACCTTTGTCCCACATTTTTCCTTAAGTTCTTCCTTCCCGCTTAACTTAGGCAAAGGACCCCACAGGCACAACATCGCATGATGCAAATCGAAACCACCCCTCAAGCAATGGAGGAAGCAACAGGTGGCCCAGGCCACCCAGGCCAGTTTGAGCAAAATCCCCAACTCACACCTGTGCAGATGGACCATGGAGTGACCTCTGGGATGACCAACAGGCACATCTCCTTAAGGTGCATGTGTGACCTGATGCCCGTCTTGACACGTACGATGACAAGGCTTCCCTATCTAAATATTCACCCTAACCCTAGACAAAAGGAACCCATTCACCCTTGCTCAGGGAGTCACAGTTTTGGAAGTTATTCCCCATGATCTCCTTACCTGCAGCAAATAAAGCTTCCTTTGTGCAACAACTCACTTGGTGTAGTTTCTACCTTGGTGCCTCACCAAGGAGCGAACTCATGTTGGTTGGGTTACAGATGCATGCCTTTAATAAGCACACACCTTCTCCTGTTGGCACTGAATTTTTCATTCTATAATTCCTCACCACATTGTTGCTTCACTTCAAAAGGCTATTGACTTAGATGAGCCCTGCTTTTGATCTTGAAGGCATGAAATCAAAGGCTTGTCCCTCGAAGCCACTTCCTGACACCTGCCTCCTAACAGTGGTTATGACCAGCCCTCCCATGCTACAGTTTCCTTTTATGTGCCATTGCATAGATTCACATTTGTGGTGTGAATGCAAAACAGCCACACAGAACATTTCGCAAACAGACCAGAATGTACGCGTCCAAATTAAACACTATACCTCAAAATGACAAGATGCTAAAATATTTGAATGTCTTTTTTGGAGCCAGTTGAAATGAGAAATAGTCTTTCTTACTGGGTACTCTTGTATTTCCATACCCTTTTATTCCTTAGTTTTCTTGTTCTCCTATAACCACTTCCCTTGCTGTTTAGTAATATAGTTCTTGTTGTTGACTGCCTACCGCACACCAGGCATAAATACCCATATCTCATTTAGTTCTCAAATAAGTCTGTAAGGTGTGATAACCCAGTCTCACAGATGAGGAAACTGAGATGGCAAAAGTTAAGCTATCTGCTGGAGGCAGAGATAGAATTCTTCACTCAGTTCAGCTGCACTCTGATAGTGAGCTCTGGGACATACCTCACACGCCTCACACATCTCTGCCATTCTCTCCCTCCTTTCTCCACTTGCCTCTAGTACCTGATCTCTTGCTGTTTCCAAAAGGGAGCTGTGCTGACCATGGCCAAGAGCCAAAGATTCCAAGGAAAAAGACCCATGTGACCGGAAAGCCCCTGCATCCGGGCAGAAATAGAGTACTATTTCTCTATACCGTGGAAACAGAACTTGGCTTTGCACACTGCCTGTCTAGTGAGCACAAGGGCCTGAGAGGATGCGTTAGTCCTGGGTTACGAGCCTTCAAATAGCTTCTCACGATGGGAGACCTAAGTTTCCATTCATGACCCATCTTACCTGTCCACAGGTAGGTACTATAGAGGGAGCTGTACAATAAAACAAACACCAGAATTTGTCCAACAAAATTTTTTTCTTTAACGAAATTCCAGATCATCATTCCGGCACAGACAATAGACTGCAGAAAAAATTATTAACAAAGTCAGTCATATTCATGGGAGTCAGACAACTGTTTTATTCATGGCAGATTCATTGTAATTATTCATTTTAAATTACTGCTGAGTAATTATCATGCTAGCTATTCCAAAACTTCAAGTTTTAGGATAAAAGCCCTTCTTATAGTCTTTACCAGTGTACATATTCAACTGAAACAAACAGCATTTTAAATACGAGCCCTATATTTAGTAATGGTTTACGTAAAAAAATGCTAAACCTCTTCCCATTATAACTTGAGACATGCGAAGATTTGACTAAAAGAATAAGATTGTGAGAGAGTTCAATTTTTAGTGATTCAGTTATTTCTATTAAAAAATGCAAAATTATCCCTGAACGCCACTATTAGCCTCAACTTTATACAGTTCAAGACCTATGGTGGTGTATAATAAGTTAGGGATACATTAATGGTAATCAAGTTGTAATGGATTGCAATTGGTAAAAAATGCTTTCGACTTTATAACTGGCAAAACCCAGCCACATGATTTTCTCCTCTACAGTAGAATAATCAATGAAAAAAGCATAGTTCTAAGTATCTGTATGTTTACTAACCTGAGCGATGAGTAAATTAGTTGTAAGCATATGAGGGAGCTGTTTATATTTCTTACTCAAAAGAAGAATAGCCAGAGACCAGATCTTAAAGACAAAAGGTTCAAAAGTTATTCAGGCTCCTTAACCTTCATAACTACTTATCAAATAACTCATTGATTAGCTTCTTTAAAGGATTCTCTTTATCTTGGTTCAGAAAGAAATTCCAATATTTTATTTACTTTAATCTGCCTAGTTCCCCAAAGAGTATTAAGGTAAATCACCATACCCAAAGAACAATAAATAGCACGGAGATGCAATAACATGGATGGACCTAGCAGGTATCATGCTAAGCGAAATAAGTCAGAGAAACACAAATACTATATATGATTTCACTTCTATGTGGAGTCCAAATAACAAAGCAAATGAACAAACAAAGCAAAACAGAAACAGACTCATAGATACAGCAAACTGCTGGTCACCAGAAAGGGGAGGAGCTGGGTGGCAGGTGAAACAGAAGAGGCGGACTGAGAAGTACAATTATAAAACAAGTATGTTCTGGGGATGTAATGTACAGCATAGGGAACATGGTCAGTAACTTTGTAATAACTTCGAATCGTGACAAATGGTACCTGGGCTTATCATGGGGATCATTTCAAAATATATAAAATGCATAATGTACATCGAATAACTACGATGTACTCCTGAAACTAATAATTATATGTCATTTATATTTTGGGGAAATCAAAGCATGGAGAGATCCTATCGTAAATTAACTCTTCAAAAATGACAGGGTTGGGACGCCTGGGTAGCTCAGTCAATTAAGTGTCTGCCTTCAGTTCAGGTCATGATCCCAGGGTCCTGGGATCAAGTCCCACATCCGGCTCCCTGCTCCACGGGGAGTCTGCTTCTCCCTCTGCTTGCCACTCCCCCTGCTTGTGCTCGCTTGCTCTCTCTCTCTCTGACAAATAAATAAATAAAATCTTTAAAAAAAATGACAGGGTCTTTAAGGACTAATGCCTTGATCAAGGCCATGTTCTAACTTCCCCTACCTTGGGTGGCTGGGGTAGGACACAGGCTCACAGTCAACTATTCAGGAAAAGATCTTTAGTGGGAGATGCAGTTACAGTGCATTCTTCTAAGTTTTCTTTTGATTCCACCATTGGCTCATGCGGTATCTAAATTCCAGGCAGTCTGACTTCAAACAATGCAGATAGCCCACCTTAAGACGAATTGTCTTGCATTCCTCATATTTATAAGGATTGGGTTTCTATTCTCCCTCTAAAGGGGCCAGCTAAGTATGCTGGGTGATTTCCTTCTTTCTTCTTCCCACCCTATCAATCAAAATTTATATCATCTCTCTCCCTAGACTGTCCTCTTATCAAAGAGCACAAATTTTAGGAATATGTAACAGAAGAGAAATTTCCTAAAAATTACATTAATTACACGTTTATTTGTTGTCCATATACATGCTCACCCCTGCCTCCTTCTTTTAACAGTAAAAGCTGTTTTTTTTTTCCCAGCCAGAATACTGCTTGAATTCCATAAGCAAGTTGAGCTACAAGATACTCTAGTTGTCAAATGTTTAAGTATTTAATTTGAACTAGATTTCTCTCTTTTTTTTTTTCCTCCAGAAAGCTTCAGTAGCATTAAATGGGTGGTTGGACATCCCTCCCGACCCCATGATTCTACAATTAGCTAATACTAATAGTATTCGTAGAGTGATTTGCCATTTGCAGATGCTTTTCACATATATTGTCATATGTAATCCTTAAAAAAACCCATGGAAATAGGTAAAATTTGTATCTCTATGTCCTAGCTGAGAAAACTGGAGCTCAGAAAGGCTGAGACATACAGCTAGTTTGTGATAGCGCTAAAAGCCAATCCAGGTCTGACTAAATCTCATGCCTTGTCTGCTCCACGACCCTAACTTTCAAAAGGAAAGACACAATTTTACATTTTATGGGCAGGCTTTAGCTTTCTCTATTGCATAAGAGATTTTCAGAATAGATTTTTAAATCCCTAACTTTCTGTTACCAAGCTATTTTCAAACTCATTCTGTGGTTTTCATTCATATTTACAGTGAAACGTACTTACCAAGGAGACAAGGCTGATAATACTTATATCAAAACTAACATTCTGGATGGCATACGCCAATGGCTTAGGGTCCATAGTGGGAAAGGTTAGTAACCAGGCAGAAACGTACATGATTGGTGCGGACACAAATGTGCTTACTACCATCCCTGAGGTTATCTGCAAAAAATGAAATCAAATTGAGAAAAGGGCCATAGTCTCAATTAAACAATGACCCCTAAATTTTAAATAGCCACAGCAAACTAAGGCATTCTAAAATAAAAGCAAGAGTCAGGAAAAAGACACCATAAATTCCAGCATGTTCTCTAATACTATATTCCCCTTTCTGAGAGTCCTTAAAAGAAAACACAGTTAAGTTCCTTTGGCTCCTCTTCCACTCTACGCTCAATTAATATTTGCACAGAACCAGAACTAAACATCCCAAGCTGATGGCTATCTTAGGTTCTAGAAAGTAAACCATATTAATGATCTAATTAAACTGATGACCAGTTTCCTTCCACACTATTTCATAAAATACAGGGCAATAAAATCAATTTGAAAAAAAAATTACCAGGTAAACATTTTACAGATTAAATAACGGAACTGACCTTTGTTAAACAACTTAGTTCCTTCAGGTTATATTTCAAAAACATTTAATGCTATAGATAACATGTGCAATATGCTTAGACACTGTTAATAATTTGGTGTTAATTGATTTTAGCTCTTTACTGCAATTGATTATGTGGTGTTTTGCATCTGGTGAATTAACAGTGAATGAAACAGATTTTTTTTATCCAAAATTTCAAAAGTTACCATTCTATAAATAACCCTTAGGTTTCAGCAGAAGTACAACAATAAAATATTTAAAACTAAAAAAGACTAATGAAAAAAGTGATGACTGAGAAAAGACCCCAGATTAAATAACTATTACTCGATGTTACATGATGCTTCCTTATTTACAATGAAGTAGCTTTCACCTATCAAATTCTCATAAAAGAAGGCTGATCTCTGTGTTTTAAAATTTCACTTTTCTACTAACCATACAATCGAACTTAGAAAGTAGCATATACATACAATCTCTACTTCCATGTTGAACTGTGTTGCAAAGATAGCCACTCCTGGTGCTACAGGAAAGACACCATACAAAAACGCATAATTTGATAAACTTGTATGGTTCACTACACTGTCGCCCTTGTCCAAGAGTTCCACCATTTCTCTGCACAAAAGTGGCAGCACCAGGCTGAAAAAACAAGAAATGGGTCATTCACTTGATATCAAAGTACGCCGGTCCCCAAGGGGGCGATCGTTCTATTGAACTTGGCATTAGGTTATTCTCCTTCTCCTGCCCAGAAGGTATATCTATTTGCATGCACCTATTCTCTGCATGCCTACCTGTGAACATTTTGAAAGAATCACGAATTCAACTTGGAGCCACTTAGGTGTAGCAATATTCTAAAAAAATGCTTTCGACATCAGGGATTCAGAGGAAAAAAACTCAGCTTTGGTTCTACAAATCATTTTCTCTCAAAAAAATGTTTAAAAGTTATAACTGTAGTAGCTGTTTCCTGTTTCCTCAACTAGAAAATTGAAATGTTAAAAGAAAAAAAAAAGGGGCGCCTGGGTGGCTCAGTTGGTTAAGTGACTGCCTTCGGCTCAGGTCATGATCCAAGGGTCCTGGGATCGAGTCCCGCATCGGGCTCCCTGCTCGGCGGGGAGTCTGCTTCTCCCTCTGACCCTCCCCCCTCTCATGCTCTCTGTCTCTCATTCTCTCTCTCTCAAATAAATAAATAAAATCTTTAAAAAAAAAAAAGTATTTGTGTGTTCTTGGTGTAGAAAATTCTATAAGTAGAGGGGTCGCCTGGGTGGCTCAGTCAGTTGAGCGTCTGCCTCCGGCTCAGGTCGTGATCCCAGGGTCCTGGGATCGAGCCCCGCATCGGGCTCCCTGCTCAGTGGGGGGTCTGCCTCTCCTTCTGATCCTCTTCCCTCTCATGCTCTCTGTCTCTCATTCTCTCTCTCTCAACTAAATAAATAAAATCTTTAGGGAAAAAAAAAGAAAAAGAAAAAAAAGATTGATAATCTGAGCAAACTTTTTTCAAGAAAATTACTAAACTTCTTTTTGGAAAGAACCCCTGATCTTTATTATGATTTGGGGTTTAAATGGATCAGGTGTTGATAACAGTGCGGCTTGATTAGATTCTGAAAGCCAGTAGAAAAACAGGGCATCTTACAATTACCTCTTCATCACTGTAAAGACAAGGGTTTGGCAGAGGAATTGAAACAACCAAGCTAGAGCAGAAAAGTAGTGAAATCCAGACCTGCTGGAGAGACAATTATTAAACAAATCCTTCAGGATTCCATAGAAAGAGCATATAAGGGAAGCTGAGCTAATGAAGCTTTCCTTTAAAAAGAACAAGGCCCGGGTTGGTAACATTGTCATAGTAGCACCTTGAGATATGCTCTAGTACGGAATAAAAAACTGCTCTTATCTGTATTTTTTAATTTAAAAAATAGATTAAAACATCTAATAGGGATCAAAGACACAGAAAAAAGATTTTTTTTAAGAAAAAACATTTTTAAATTGAGAATATTCAAATACTACTTGTAAGTTGAGGTCGACAATACTATTAACATTAGAACCATATTTATACTGCGGCAATACTTAATACTTTGTTTCCAACGAACATAACACCACACCATAAATAATTTTCAAAAGTTATATTCATTTTTATTATTTTGAAAATATAGACACTATTTCATATTGCACTGCTTTCATGAATTTAACTGCCTATACAAGAACTAATTTCAGTAGTTAAGTATGCCCCAAGTGCCTTGGGGTAGTGTCACAGTAAAATTATGTCACCTACACCATGAAGTATAACTCTATGGCTAATGAACTAAGTAAGCTGAAGAGCTGTTAACTAAGGAACTAATAAAAACTTTATCTGATAGGCTAGGATTAGATAGTTGGTAATAATCATTTGCATGGACTTTCCTATTTAGGAAGTTCAATCACCCACTGAATTGTAGAATATTTCCCCCAAATTCATGAAAAAAAGCTTCATTCAAAATTATTGTTTTCATCATGACCAATAGGGTTTTAAAAGATTTGGAAAAGTCAGAAATCCTATAAAATTTCCTTTAAAAATATGATCAAACTGGGACATTAGGAGATATTAAGTAAAATTATATAAAAGTTAAAGGGAAACCAATTGTCTTTATCTTCTGGCAGTAAAATGGAAAGAAGAACTACACAGAATAAGGCAATAACCTTCCACAATATACCAACATCACATTTTCCTTTAAATCACAACTACTCAGTTAGGAGGGAGTATTACTATCAGATTACTTAAAGGAGAAAATAGTTGCAGACACATCTAATGAACTAGCTAAATAAGGCTTTCACAAAGTATAGTCCCCAAGTTAAATAAATGAAACTTACAGTTTAGCTGTGATGAGAAGAATTAGTACAACAAATGCTGACTTCTTCAGTTTCTTTATTTTTCCCACCATTGTAAGACCCAGATAAAAGAGAGCTGCTCCAGAGAAAGAATTTGCAAGTCCATCAAGAAAATTTTCCATATATACGGGCACCTTTTGATCAAGAATAAAATTGAAGGCAATACCAATGAAAACCATAAATACTATTGGATTCTGTAATACACGCAGAAGTCCAAGTCCTACAATTTTCACTTTGTTTTGAGAAGCATTTTGAGTGTCTTTCCACTTCTGGATTTCACAGAAGATAAATCCTATAGGGTTCAACATCATAAGAGATATGGGCGCCACCAAGTAAATGTACTGGAGATATTCTGGGTATGTAGTTTGATATAAAGCTTCAACTGCAAAACACGAATTAAAACTGCTTTAAAAATGATTACCACAGAAATGCATTAATAAATTATGTACATAATGTTTTCCATACTTAATTATAACATATTGTAAATTAATATAAATAGTGCACAATGACCTCATTAGCCTACTTTGGAAAAGTAAATTTTAGTAATAAAGCTTATAAGGAAAAAAAGCACATTATATTAAATGATATTTAGCCTATAAAATGATAATCAACTTTAAAAAATTGTTAGTGAGGGGTGCCTGGGTGGCTCAGTCAGTTAAGCATCTGACTTCGGCTCAGGTCATGATCACAGGGTCTTAGAGGATAGAACCCCATGGCAGGATTCCCACTCAGCAGGGAGTCTGCTTCTTCCTCTGCTCCTCCCCCCTCCTCTCTCTCCTTCTCTCTTAAGTAAATAAAATCTTTTAAAAAAATATTGTTTGTGAAACCCACTGATTTTTACTATGTAGAGGTTAAGACTAGTCTCAAAAAAAGGGCAGAATTGTAGAATTCTTAAAATTCCAAATACAAATCTAGTAAGGAATTAAACATTTAAGTAGTAATAGCAACAAGGTGGTTTGATTCCCTTGAGAGAGGTTTCACTGGAGTGGGGAACCAAAGCCACACTACAGGGGTGGAGGAGAGAGTAGGAGACAATGAATGAAATAATGAGCACTGAAGGGATAGAGTCCAATCTATCATGGAAAAGAAGTGAAGATGGCAGGTGGCTCTCAGATAAAAAGCAGAGGAGTCAGGCACTGGAGGTCCCTCCGAAGTCCAAAAATGATGAGTAGTCGGAAGGTCAGGAGTTCAGAGTAAGTCAGATAGTTGAACTATTGCGCTTAATATTTCCCAGATGCCTAGGTCCAGGATGAGTCGTGGGGGTTGGTGGCTGAAAGGGAGTAGAGGAAAACATCACTGGAGTTGGAGAAGTCAGGGACTGAGAAGGGAGAGGATTTAATGGGTAGTTCACATGGATGCTAAAGTCAAACAAGCTAATGGGCAGGGGCACCTGGGTGGCTCAGTGGGTTAAGCATCTGCCTTTGGCTCAGGTCATGATCCCAGGCTCCTGGGATTGAGCCCCAGTGCCGGGCTCCCTGCTCAGTGGGGAGCCTCCTTCTCCCTCTCCCTCTGCCTGCTTTTCCCTCTCCCTCTGCCTGCCCCTCCCCCTGCTTATACTCTCTGTCAAATAAAAATATAAAATCTTAAAAAAAAAGAGATAATGGCAAAACTTGGGGGTCAAGAAGATGACAATGAATCAGATATTAAAGTCTTCACGAAATGAGGAGGAATGATCAGAATGAGGTCAGCAGATGACAGCAAGAGGATGAAGAGACTAGGTAGGCAGTATGAACCTCAAAGCAGCAGTTCCTGCAAAAGAGCAGAGAATAATGGCCTCGCAGAGGTACAGGTACGAGGTGGCTATGAGCAGGGCAGCTCAGTCTATATGCAGGATGCAGGTGAAGAGAAAATAAACAGCCTCCATTTGAGGGGAATGAAAAGGAATGAATGCCTTTAGGAAGACCCAGTGAAGATGCTGAAGAATTAGGAATGAAAAGGTGGATCTAAGGAATGTTGGGGAGTGGAATACAGTAGAGTCATGTCAGTGAACATTTAGCTAACACAAATTCAACTACACTCTCTTAGGAAAACAAAAGATTCATTTTTTGCCCCCATAAGGCATATTCCCAAATGCAAACTAAATACTTCACTTGTTCGCTGAAGAAAAACAATGCTAGAGAAAAAAATCTGGCTGGGTTAGACTATGAGAAATGGTACGATATACTCAAAGTATGTGTGCTGTATTTTGTGGGTGACTTAAGGGATTTTTCGAGGATGTGACCATACATGATGACTTTAGAACCTAACCAGTCATAAAATAAGTCTCCTTGGAAGGCGGGTAGGTGGGTTGGATTAGATTTCTAGCTGTTTGTTGGTGGACATGACAGTTGGTGGCCTGGTCTTGGGTTGATCAGAGCAACTTAGAGCCTTGGAGTAAGCAACCTGGTCTCCAGGCACATTTTTGGCAATGAGTTTCAAAATTCAACCTAATACATACAAAGGACAATTCATAGATGATTGGAGGCTGAGAAAGAAAGATTAAAAAAAAAAAAGAACAGCCACAGTCACTGCAAAGAGAGAGGCAATCATGTGAAAAAATGTAAAAGATTAGATTTCTCAATTTACATTAAGATAAAGTTACACAGGTAGGAAAATATATTTGTTTACTTACTCAGGATACATAAGTTCAGTTAATGTCATGCACATGTCCTGTTAAAGTTATGTAACTAGATTATATAACCTTTAGAAGTCTACCTGGTTCTCATTAGCTAAAACCTACTTTTGTGTAGGATTCCATTCCCTTTTTTTTTTCAGCTAAGCACATCCACGGGTCTATAATATCCCTGAAATGAAGCAGAGGCTAAACACAACATATTTGATTACATAAAATCTCACAAATTCTTTCCACTGACTTCCAAATTAGATATACGAGCTCCGTATCTCTTAGTGGTTTTCTTTCATGTTTCATAAGGTTTCATCTTTTAAGTAAAAAAAAAGCATCACTTTTGATAACTATTTCTAGACTGCTCCGCTCCTTCTGATCAGATATTCCATCTCTAAGAGAAAGGCTTCCATACCTGCCCACCACTCAATTTTTAAAATAGAGAATATATTTTGGAAAAGCCTTGTGTTTTCAATCTGAGTTCAAGAATTTTCCCAAGTGGCCAAAATAAAATGCATAAGGTGTTTCCTTTGACGACTTTAAGCACACAAAGCCCCTTAGGTTAATGCCTTTTTCCAGAAATTTACTTTCCCGGCACTCTAGCACTTAATCACCATCTGATAATGGACTTTAGATTATTTTAAAAGCTCAATGCAATTTTGAGCAGCAGTCTTTTATTATCTATGGCTAACCCACCACCAAGTCCTCTCTTCTTTCGCCAGATCTTTTCTTTTTTCTCCTCTTGAACCACTAGTCAAAAATCTCAAAATTGGATTAATGTGTTGACCAACTTATATTCCTTTGGTTTTTCTTGACCACTCCCTTGATCCATTTTATTCACTGCTGACAATATCATTTAAATCTGAACTTTCAAAATTTCTGATTTTCCCACCGTTCTCACCTCCCACAAGAACAGCCATAAAGCTGCTTTTTTGACATTCACAGTCCAGTCTCTGCAATGGGTCCCTTACTCAGTTCATCTCTCACTATTCCTTAGGGCAAAGCCTCCAGCAGTCAGTTTAATATCGCTGTTACACTGGACTAACACTGGGTTCATAATTACGAGTTCGACATGCTGATCATCATTCCCCAACTTCTTGAAGTCTCTCTTTTCTTACCTAAACCTTGCCTACAGTTTAAGGCCTGTCTCAGGTACCAGTGCTTCCCCCCAGTCTTCAATCTCTGTCATGGACCTCCTTGCCTCTGGATGGCTCTGGCGCCTTGTTTCCTATTAGTGCCCCCTCATCCCATTCTAAGTTCCTTGAAGGCATCACTTCAGAGCCCCCAGGCCCCAGCACAGGGCTGAGCAAATCTGAAAATACTTGCTGAATGCAATTAGCACATCAATGAATGTCAAAGTTTTCAAAGTAAAAATGTATTTTGTAACACACAGCAATTTATATCTAATTGTTCTCTCTTAGACTTGTTTCTTTTTATACCCTTTTTTTTTTCTTTTTTCACATTCTGAATATTTATAAAGCAGGTTACTAGTAGGGCATTTTGAGTCAGGTGAACAGGTATATGAAGGTAAAAAAGGTACAATCTAGTGGGAGAGCAAAGATTGGGAATAAGTAAATAATGGTCAAATCACGAGAAGAACAGGGTTTAATGTGGAAATTTCAATCCACTTCTGCCACTCGTTTGCATAATTAAATTTACAATATTTATCTATGAATTGGCAGTGCTTTAATTACCAATCAAAAGATGGTTTTTCAAATATGAAAGACATATATGAAAGCAGTGACCTATACTAACAAATTAGATTTATAATGATTATATCAACTATTAAGTTCTAATTAATTAACACTTACAAATAAAGCTCTTGGGGGGAGGAGAGAATCCTACTATGAGGAACTAAAAGACAAAATTAGCCACCCACTGCGGCTCCTATTTTGATTCCTGCCGGGCTTCAATCCCTAGCAAACAACACAAAGACCCAGACATGATCATTCTATTATTTAATGGCATATAGTTAAATGCTTCATTTCCTTTCTGTTTACAGCTCAAGCACTAGAACATAATTATGATTAGTCAGGGTACTTATGCTATCAGCATTGTTTGAAGAATAAATTATAGGACTTAAATATGCCTTATTAGTATCTTTTAATGACAGAGGTAGGGAACCACTCTGGTTTTCTGAAATCAACATTTCGCCTTGGTAGATTCTTGGTTTCTTCTTGAACTCGTATTTCTTAAAGTTACCTTTGAAAAGAATTGTTCTAAAAAATAGCGAGCTTTTCTATTAGTCTGTTAAATGCACTGTAGCATTCTGCTACTTGAATATAGATAAATCATTTTAACATAAGTTCATAGGCTGTTATAATTGGCATAATATAGAGAAAAAGGAAAAATGAATGGCTTTTTTCTTTATTCATTAACTTATCTGCCTTCTCCCAAGTCACCCGTATATTGGACTGATATTTTGGAACAAAAGCAGTCTTAAAAAGGACATTTCTCATAAGCTATGATGCTTATCTGTTAACAAGAGAGTGGGAATTCCTGGGAGACATCACATAACAGAAAGAAAGGGTCTTCTCTCTAGAGACACAGTCTTCTCTGTTCATCCCGAGAAAGCCCAGAAGGCAGATGGGCATGGGCAGCAATAATAAATAAGCTCATCGGGGCAGATACACAGCCCTACAGCTCTGTACCACACCTTCCAATCTGCAGATATGTGAGAAAGCACTTTTGCATACACTGTTGGTTTCTGGTAAGGTTATTGTCTACAACCTAATACTACAAGAGCTCTTAAATTATTTGTAATTTAAAAACAAAAAATGACAACTCAAAATTTACAAGGATAATCATCAGGGAAATTGGACTAGCACGCTGCTGGGAACATGATTATTACCAGTTTCAGTGATCCAAGGTGGGACATTAAAAAAAAACAGTGATGAAAATAGCTGACTACATTTTTGATTTGGAGATTCTGCCTTAACATGAAAATGCGTAAGCTCATCTAATAGGTCTTTTTCCACTGCTACTCATTTTATGGAATACCTTTAGAATAATATAAAGATAAAAAAAATCTTTGATTCGCTCTGCTATTAATGGGTTACAGGCTAGTTAGGTCTTCTAAAGATTAAATGGGCATGTTACATAACTGTGTGGCATAAGAGAATGCCTAGGATTTAGAACCAAAAGACCTAGGTTTGGATCTCAGTCACATTAGCTGTGTGACCTGGGATAGACAATTAAATCTCTGTAAGCCACTCTCCTTATTTGAAAATGAGGATTAAAAATATCTGTCCTACCTCAGATAAGTATATCTATAAGAAAATACTCTATAAAGTATAAAGTTACAAATGTTAGTTCTGTTTAGTTGTGGACTTACGAATCTATGAGAACATGAAACTATATATAGTTTATGCCTAAATTAAGATAATGTAGGGCGCCTGGGTGGCTCAGTTGGTTAAGCGACTGCCTTCGGCTCAGGTCATGATCCCGGAGTCCTGGGATTGAGTCCCACATCGGGCTCCCGGCTCGGCGGGGAGCCTGCTTCTCCCTCTGACCCTATCCCCTCTCATGCTGTTTCTCTCTCTCTCTCTCAAATAAATAAAAAAATAAATAAAATTAAAAAAAAAGATAATGTAATATTTGTTAAATACTTAACACTATGATACTGAGCCACTTATAAGGTCTTTATGCCATAAATACCTTCACAAATTTACATTACTAATGCTCCTGAGGAGATGGACTTTTATTTCCAAAGTCTTTTATTGCCAAAGTCTTTATTTAAACACTTGGTTCATTCTTAATTTTAAAATTCAATAACCTTAAAGGAACACCTTTACAGTTACTATTTATAGTTCAGTCATCTAAGAGCCCAGTTTTTCCTCTCTCATAAACCTGCTTCACTCAGAGTTATTTAATTTCTAAGATTTAGCTTCATTTCTGGTAAGCAAGATGGAGGAGGGTCAAAGGAGGAGAAAAAGGAAAAGTATACACAGTAGAATCCTTTTGGTGCCAGAGGTGAAATAATTAACAGTTTCAGTCCGGGGGGGGGGGGGGGGGGCGCGGGGAAGAGTTTTAAAACTACTGAATAAGGAATCTGAAAGTTAATGGTAGTTTCCAGTTGTCCACTTCAATAAATTTCTTTCAGTCTCTGCTCAGAAGATACACCAACAGAGAGGCCTTTATTGACCCCCTACATCAAATAGTACCTCCTCATTCCTAGCCCTCTATACTACTTTATTTTTATGGTCCTTGTCATTACCTGATATTATTTTAATTTTTATTTTATTTTCACATTAAAATGGAAGTCAATACGTATGAGAACTTTGTTGACAGGTGTATTCCCAGCAGGTAGCACAATCATTGGTATGTAACAGGTCCCTGTGAAGGAGTGAATGAATGTATGACTATGTCCATAATATTCAGGTCCTCACATCATGATACATGGTCAAAGCACAGCATAAACTTTAATTTAAAAATAAAAATATAAAAAGTAGGGGCGCCTGGGTGGCTCAGTCGTTAAGCGTCTGCCTTCGGCTCAGGTCATGATCCCTGGGTCCTGGGATCGAGTCCCACATCGGGCTCCCTGCTCAGCGGGAAGCCTGCTTCTCCCTCTCCCACTCCCCCTGCCTGTGTTCCCTCTTTCGCTATGTCTCTCTCTGTCAAATAAATAAATAAAATCTTTAAAAAAAAAAATATATATATATATATATAAAGTAGCTACTAAGTAGTTATGTACTTAGGGTGTTCTGGAAAAAAGAATATGTTCAAGATAGCTCAACATCCCAAATTGGTATGTTTTATCAGGAAAACACACATAGAAACATAAAATTAGGCTGCTTAAAGAGTTGGAAAGGTTAAGAAGGAAATGTTGGAAAGGTAAAAAGCCCTCAATATTTTCATTCTTACACAAGAAATTAACTTCAACTGAAGTACACTGACATTTTGAATAAGCTCAACAACAAGATTTAATATAAAACAATATATATTCTAGATGGTAAGAAAAATGAGGGAGGAAAAAAGTCATTCATAAATTTCCACTGCTAACATTTAATAACTATTTTTATACAGACATATGTCTATCTTTCTTATATAATTTAAATCAGAATCTGATCCCTTCTGGAACCTGAACTTCTTTCGTGTGATTGCTGAGAAGAAAAAGAATATATTAGAAAGATGATTTATAAAGTTTATTTAGGTATGACTATTTATTTTAGGTCGACATTTGAAAGAGCTTCAAACTCTGAAGTTGAGGAAAAAATAGAATTCATCCTAAGGTAAGAAATATTTTAGAAAAAATATGAGAGATTTTTTTAATTTTAATTTTTTTAAAGAGTTATTCACTTTTGGGGGTAGGCATTGTGGGGTGGTACAGAGTACAGAGATTTGGAATGAGGCTTGTGATTTTTTTTTTTTTTAAGTAAACTCTACCCCCAATATGGGGCTCGAATTCACGGGCCCCAAGGTCAAGAGCCACATGCTTTACCAACTAAGCCAGCCAGGTGCCCCAAAAGAATTTTTTTAGATATAAGTAAATATCTATCACTAACAAATGTCTAAATAAATTAAAGGATTAAATTTTGCTACTTCATAAAACACCTGAATTTTTAAAAACTTGAAAAATAAAAAATAACTTACCTATAGGATATCCCAATGCAAAGTCATTACTTTGTGTAGCAAAAATAGGGAATAGTCCAGCTTTGCTAAATCGACTGTCAGGACTGGCAACCAATAAGGTTAATACACATACAATGAAAAATACAGAAGCTTTGGCAATCAAGATACTATATAGGAAAGACCAATCCACATTGGAAAAATTAAGTACAACCATATTTTTGAATAATAAAGCTGGAAGTGCAAATCTGGAGACAAAATTTCCTAGTCCTTTGGCCTGTGTTGATGTTATGACATTGGCTCTTCCTGCTATGTAGCCACAAAGGACTATGCCAAAACATTCTAGTAAGGCTGGAAAAAGCCTTGTTATTGACATTGAAGGTGGGTCATTAGTGGAATTAAATCTATTCATTACTGTTGAGGACAAAGTCTTGGTCATATTGACGGCAATGGTTAAGTTCTCTGCAGGTAAATCAGAAAAAGAATCCATTTTCTTTCACCCTCCAACTCCAACCAGATCTCTGGAAAGAAAGGAAGAAAGAGTCAGTGTGACAATCAACGATTAGAAGAATTCTAGTTGAAAGCATACACTGTATACTGGCAAACCTAGACTTATCAAGTGGCCAAATAAATATATATACTTTCTTCAACAATCACCAGAGAAAAAGACAATGAAAAAAAAAAGGGTGAGAGTGTTTGCTAACAATAACCTTTTTACTCTCAAAGGTGGGTCAGCCCAAAATATTTATGTTGCTCTTCTATTTTCAGTATCAGACATGAATAAAATAAGATCCACAAATATGACAGTTGCAGGGATACCCCCTGGCTCTCTCCCATGATCCAAACTTGAGCTCCACCTAGTGGGTAAGAGCATGGGGCCCACAGAGCCTCTCCTGAATGTCCACCTGCATCCAAATTCTCTGGAAATTTCAGTGCTCAAGGCTACATACCAGATAGGAGAGTCCTGTCTAGCCTGTGGTCATACCTGAGTAGAGGACAGGAAGAAGCGTTTAGTAGACTATCACATAGCAACTTTATTTTTTATTTTTATGTATTTTTTTAAAGATTTTTATTTATTTTTTGACAGAGAGAGAGACAGCGAGAGAGGGAACACAAGCAGGGGGAGCTGGAGAGGGAGAAGCAGGCTTCCCGCCCACCAGGAAGCCCGATGCGGGGCTCGATCCCAGGACCCTGGGATCATGACCTGAGCCGAAGGCAGACGCTTAACGACTGGGCCACCCAGGCGCCCCTATCACATAGCAACTTTATCCAGTAACTTTCCTCATCTGTGAAATGGCAATAATAATACCTACCTCACTGGGACTTGAGATTATTCAAGTCCTTATAATCACACCGGGCACAAAGTAATCACTTAACAACAGTTAAATACAACTTTTGGTAGCCCATAAAAGAGAATGAAAGAAAAAATGATGGCATCCCACCAGGCTACCCTTAGCTCCATTTAGAGTGGTCTCATATATTTGCCTTCTTGAATGCCCCATAGTCCCTTTGTGTCACAGGGACTTTGTACATGCAGTTCAGTGGAAAATGTTCTCTTCTCTACTTGCCACTGTCTATATAATAACATCTATTCACCCTCTAAATCATATAGGTCAGAGTTGTTTTACCACATAAGGCTTCACTAACCCCATAGCTAGGTCTTTCTTAAATAGAATCATGTTCCTTCCCTGTAGGCTACTTTTCTCAGTTTGTAATTATACTATGCATTAGAGTGACTATTTGATTTATGTCTATCTCTTTCACTAGACCTTAAGTGCCACAGAAGTAGGGACTCTGCATGTTTTTGCTCACTGTTGTATCCCTAACACCTAGCACGGTGCCTGGCACACAGGAGGCACTAATAGATATGTTAGAGTTTACATATATATATACACATATGTGTGTGTATATTATATAATTAATTATGTAATGATGAATGACTAAAATACTAATCTGCTCTTAAACCTTTCACCTTTTAGTGGATCAATGTTCTCCTTTAGGAACTATCTAGGTCATGGACAGAAAACTTTTCTTCCTGAATGATAAAGTATTCTAAGTTTTTCACTATAGCAACAGGCCCAAGACCACAAGGTGTGTTCTAAAATGTCCTAAAGCTGTTCATAAATGTTTAAGAACACAAAATGTGTTGTAAAATGTTCTAAAGATGTTCAGAAAATGCTAGAGCAAGAAAATATTTTATGCTAGCATTACAATACTTATCAGACTCCCTTCTTGCTGCCAGGGACACAATGAATATGAGGTTTGGGCAACTTTGCAACTAATCAGCTTTAATTAGTAACTTGAAATTAATATGGTGACAACTGCCAATTTCTAAGTGATTATTCTGGGTTGACCATCTAAAGTGGCCTTATATAAGGTAGAAAGTAAAAATGCCTGTGATTCCTGAAATTTACAATGCCAATGGGTAAGTTTTCAAACACCCACATGACATAATAAAGACTCAGCAGGCCAGAGACCAGCAACAACTGATACACGGGGTGTGGACATGATAATTTTCTCTGTGCTACCCTCGTATAAACTGAACCATTTAAAAACCTTACATTTAATCTGGATCAGGACAAGTATTTTTCTACCAGGATTAGATAGGAGTGGTTAATATACACAAAACTACAATAATCACATACTTGAAGTTTACCAAATAAGCATCAAATTATATCCTGGGAAAGCTAATGGTTGGGATAGGTACCATTATTTGAAGTAAGGAGCTGATAAACAAGGGTGTTAAACATTTGGAGCCCCTAACAGGTACGGACTTGAAAAAGCAATGCTAAAGCATAAGGTGATAGGGGTGCCTGGGTGGCTCAGTTGGTTAAGCAACTGCCTTCAGCTCAGGTCATGATCCTGGAGTCCCGGGATCGAGTCCCACATCGGGCTCCCTCCTTGGCGGGGGGTCTGCTTCTCCCTCTGACCCTCCCCCCTCTCATGTGCTCTCTCTCTCTCATTCTCTCTCTCAAATAAATAAATAAAATATTAAAAAAAAAAAAAGAATAAGGTGATAAACTTGTCCAGCCTTATGTTATTTCTTTAAAGTACCCCACATTTGTTTGCCTGGAATATTAGTAACTCATACTGCTCACTACCCCTTATTTGTACCACACTCACAAATCAATGTATTACAATAATTTTTTAACCAACAGTTTTAACTAAAATAGTGGTAGTTCACTGAAAAGAGTCAAATAGACCTGAACCCAGTTTGGGGACTTATAACTTATCAACTCTTCGGGCAAGTTAAATATCCTCTCTGAACCTTAGCTTCTTCAACTATAAAATGAGAGTAAAAACCTCCTTAAAGGTCTATTGTGAGGATTGGAGACCTCATACACAGCTTTTCACAGAGCAGGTCTTTAAGAAATGGTAGCAACTGCTATTAGGAGTGTGGTCATAATGAGAATGGTAACAAATTAAATATAATTCATTGTCTTATGCCCCTTCTTCAAACGTGGTATTAAAGATTCTCCACCTAAAATAGAGAGATGGGATGGGTCATAGGTTACCAGCTTTTGTTTCATACCACACAACTAAGAGGAGTTCAATTTAATTCAGTTTGATCTTAAGTCGTTTTTACCAGGGAAGGGAGAGATCTTAATTTTCATCAAGGTGATGGTCAAATAGTTGTAGCACTGCCCAGGATTAACTCTAAGTTAGTCAAAAATGAAGAGAAAAACTTTGAAAAGTAAACTGCCCTTTCTCAGGAAGATACTTTTAGTGTTCCTCAACATTATAAAAGCAATACTTGCTAATAGAGGGAAGGTTGAAACAACTGAAAAAGCACTTACAAAGGTTTCTTATCCATTTTTCCCCCCCAATGGGAAGAGTATATGCTTTTTAAAGCATTCTTTGAAAATGAACAGGAACCACAGCAATGGAAGTTTTTGTAAAAAAATTGCATCCAGTCTTTTCATCTCATTAAAAACAAGGGTTGCTAACCGAACAAACAAGTTGACCTATCACGGTAAAAGACTGCTCACTGGCCACTCACCGGGGTGAGGAGTGGAGAAATGCTATATACAACTCCCTTCTAGCCACTGAGAGTTGGTTGAGAAAACATGAAGGAACCACTGAAACTAAACAACTACCATTGCTAATGAAAAAGGGGCAGAGGGTTCTGATTTATTTCAAAGAGAAAGCTTTGAAACACCCAATATCCATTATCCTGTGGGAAAATCGTGACATAGTATGATACTATTAAAGCACTCTTCAACATCAACATCACACCATCCGCCCACTCCCACCTACTTGCAGAGGACCAAATGTCCTCCCTAGAGACCTAGGGTGGGGAGCGCTGAGCACCGCCTCTTCCCTTGTCAGCAGGGACAGACTTTGGCCCTCTAAGATAAGGATGTGGAGAGTCCTTAACGGAGCAGGCTGCCCAGAGACCAGCTGCCACCCAAAGCCGGGGCAGACAGCAGACTGGGGTCTGTGCCTGGGATAAAAAGTTGGTCTCTCAGCTTCCCCAGGGCATGGGAATCACAACATCATGGTATCTGACATGCTCCAAAAAGGGGTAAGGAAGAAAATTTGGCGCAGCGCTCCAGGTACCCGGGCAAAAGCTCCCAAGAAGGCAGATACTGAGGCCAGCCCCTCGGGATAAAAGGAAGAGTCCGAGAATGACAGCATGGACGTACGAGCCATGAGGCGCTCCTCAAACTGGGGTATGACAGTTCTGTCACTGGAGGGGACAAGTGGTCCCTTCCCCTACGTTAAGTCTTCCGGAGGTCCTAAAAGCGGGGCAGACGCAGGCAGCGGACTGCACGCCGGGGTGCCAAGGGCGGGGCACTGCCCACCTGCCCAGACCCGAGGGGCGGGGATGGGGGCACGAAGGGTACGCAAAGCCGAGCCAGGGCGGGGCAGGTCCGCGCCCCAGGGCCCCATCTCACCTGCTACGTCTGCAGCCCTGGGGCCGCGAGAAAAGAGTCGATGCTCGTGATGGACTAAGCAGGGAGGAAATCACCGTCATCTCCCACCCCAGCCCTCTTCACCGAGAGCTGCGGGCTGCTGGCGGCCGACGGTAGCAGCTCTGTCACGTTCCGAGAAAGTGAGGTGCAGGAGTACTGTGGTCAGGTCAGCTCCTCCCCGCGCCGGCCGCGCGGCCCCGCCCCACCCCGCCCCGCCTTGAGGCCCCGCCCCACCCCGCCCCGCCTTGAGGCCCCGCCCCCGGCCTCGAGTCTTCAAGCTGCACCGCCCTGGGAACGTCCAAGCTTCGCGGCCCCTTGTCCCGCCTTGAGGCCCCGCCCCCCGCCTCGAGCCTCCGAGCGCAAGTCCTCGGCCCCACCTCAGGCTCCGCCCCCGCCGCGAGGCTCCGAGCCGCACGGTCTTCTGTCCCGCCCTCGGCGTCAAGATGTGGGGGACACACGGTCCCCGGCTCCGCCCCCGCGCCGCCCGCTCCGAGCCGCTCAGCAGCGAGACTCGGGCGGCGAGACTTCCGGCTGCCGGGCTCTTGCAAAATGGCGGCTGCTGTGGGGACGTTTCCAGTCTCGTTTTCTTCGCCCTAAATTCAGATGCGGAAGCCTCTCGTTTTTCTGCCTAACGCCCAACCCCTTGTGATCCGCTAATTTCATATGTGGGTTTGACTAGTCGTTTTATAGCGCAGAGTTTAAAAATCAGATCTGGGCCAGAACCCTGCCTTCCTCCTTTCCCAAGGTGGTGTGACCTTCACCTTCCTAAATCAGGGACTAAAATGTCTATAAAGCTTCGGCACGGTGCTTGATTTGGATAGAATAAGCGCTTAGTCCCTGACTACTTGTGTCTCTGTTGTCGGGGAAACTACATGTTTATCCCGTCACTGTACTGAGAAGAAATTTGTTAAATTGGTGGAAAACTTCCTGAGCTTGAAATGAAGGGGTCCCAAAGATAGAGCTCCATTTTGAAACCCGAAGAAACTTGGTATTTGTATTAGTCTTTTGGAATCAAATTATTAAGATTTTAAGATATTTATGATATGATTCCACTTAATATCTCCACAGGCATCTGTCCTTTGTAAAGCCTCTAATTCGCCTTGCATCCAACTTTTTTTGGGGGGGGGTGGTCTGGCAACTTCAGATGTCTTCATATCATCTTAGTAGTTTTTGTGCAAAGACACAAAAAATGTATGGCTTGAAAACTCACAGTAAGCTAAGGTTAAAGGTTCTGAAAACTAAGCAGAAGAAAAATGAGCAGAAACAAACTATAGAAAAGTCATGCTTTCTATTCCTGTTCTCACTTCACCTTTGTTCTCCATCTTCACTCTTAACTGCCTTCTTTTTTTCCCCTTGAGTCTGGCTACTTTTTTTTTTTAAATCTGAGTATATTATCTCAAGGCTAAAAAGGATTTCTGTTTAGAAAATATGAAGACTTCGTTCAATTAAATAAATACTTAACTGAGTTTTGACTTTCAGGAGAATACATGAAGATATACCTGGAAGGGTAAGTTAAGGTCAGCCTCTAGGAGGTTCTTTAGGTTAGTCTTAGAATAGGGCCTTGCCTTATCCTCTGACCACAGTAAAACCATTAAATATGTTTTGACGGGAATGTGTTGTAATGATTACATTGTTTTTGGATATGCAATCTGGAAGCTTTCCCAGGATTAGTTGAAAAAGAGACTGGAGGTAAGAGAAGCAGATGACTTTGGGAAGAACCTAGACACTAGAAAATGAAGATATATGTACTTTGGAGTGATGATAATGAAAAAAGTGGAAACAGCCTGAGAGACATTACAAAAGAAGAGCTGATGGGACTGGATTACTGATAGGGCCAAAGAAGAGGAAGGAGATAATGAACTGAAGTCCTTACTCCATTACAGTAAGGAAAAGGAATTGAGCTAGACAGCCTCTAACAGTCTTCCTAGTTCTAAAGTCCCATTATTTTCTATCATCCTATTAGCTGAAGATGAAAGGAAGAAATATTTCAAATGAGAGAAGCAGTTACAAGAAGAAAATAATGAATTTGATTTTAGGTCTAAAATCTAAAACCTTGAGAAATTATCTAGTTCAGTCTCTCTCTTTTTTTTTAAGATTTTATTCATCCATTTGAGAGAGAGAGAGAATGAGCGGGAAGAGGGGCAGAGAGAGAGGGAGAAGCAGACTCCCTGCTGAGCAGGGAGCCTGATGTGGGGTTTGATCCTAGGACCCTGGCAGAAGCTTAACCAACTGAGCCACCCACGTGCCCCTCAGTCTCATTTTTTGAAGGAGTTGTCATCATCCTCTCCATCTGAGGTCCTGGAGATTCAGCAGTTGATCTAAGAACACCCAACTAGTTGGTGCAAGACATTGGGAATATAAGTGCTCACTCTCCTGTGAACTAACTGCTCCTGAAGGTATCAGCACATGTAAATAGAGATTTCTGATAGACACCTAGAAAGAAAACAGAAGCTCAAGAGAGAGAAAGAATAGAGCTAAAGATGAGATTGGAGATATCTGTATGGAGTGGATAAGTTTTCTGAGAAGAGCAGGTTGTGGGGGGAAATTCTAGGAACAAAGTGTATACAGAGATGAAAGACCTCGTTAAAACGTCATTCTTAGATAATTACTGGTGAATGCCATAGAAAACCATTTAATTTCACTATCATATCTGCTAATCAGGCTGTGAGATGCTGATCTACATATATTATTAACTGAAAAAAGGGAAGAAAAGCTAAAAATTATTCAAACTAATGGAGAAAAACTGTATGTTAATCTTAACTTCCACTTGTAAATAACAGGACCTGTACCTTCATACACACTGATACCCTCATTTCCCTCAACTCCAGCTGGTCAAGACTGACAGGAGGAATAAACCAAATGGTTTGTATAATGGCAAGGGTCATGTAGGTATATGCTGAGGCACTGTGGTATGATGTAGATTCCTGGTGAATTGTACTTTTTTTCCAAAATCAAGTAGTTCTAATGTTTGGGTTTTTTTTCTGATTATGAAAGTAATAATAATTATAAAATATTCAGATAATAGAAAAAGGAATGAAGAAAGTGAAAGTCACAACACCTACAGATAACTAAGATAACTTCTGTTAACATTTTACTATGTATGTATCTTTTTTCTATGCACATGTAGATTATTTAAGAAAAATAGGATCATATAATACATATGACTTTTTATATACATGATTTTTAATAACCTTTTAAATTTTATTTTTTTAAAACATTTTATTTATTTGTCAGAGAGCACAAGCAGGGGGAGCGGCGGGCGGAGGGAAGAAGCAGGCTCCCCGCTGAGCAAGGAGCCAGACGCCGTACTCAGTCCCAGGACCCCGGGATCATGACCTGAGCCAAAGGCAGATGCTTAACTGACTGGGCCACCCAGGCGTCCCTAACCTTTTAAATTTAATAATGTATAATTAACATTTCATCCATACATCCAGAGCTATATAATTTTTAATACCTATTAAGTATTCCCTATTGAAATTCTGAGAATGATCTTCCTTGAAAAAGTAGCACTGTGGGCCATCCAGAGAGTCTAATCAAAGATCAGCGAAGAGGAAGACATATGTCTAATATGATTTCTTTAAAAATATTTAGTTTCTTTAAAACTCCCCATCACGTTTCCAACAGCACCAGTTTCTCTTTAGGGATACATATGATTCCAGAGAAGCTGACATCATTCTGCCTTCAGAGGTGATGAAACTAACCTTGGCTATCCAATAAGTACATTTCATCCCTTTGGACTCAGTGATTGAGTCAGGGTGGGCATTGGCTCTAAGGTAGTTTGAAGCATGACTCTTAGGACTTTTGCTGAGAATGCTGAGGTTCTCTTGCTTGCTGGACACGGGAAGATGCTGGCAGCCATCTTGGGATCATGAGAGGAGCCAGTCTTAGGATGATGCAGACACCAAGGAAGGCACAGCACAGAGAAAGAAATAAACAGGTCCTTGATGACATATTGAGTTATAGAATCAAGCATCATCTGAAGCCATGACTGGCCTGAAGCCTATAGACTTCTCATTCACGTGAGCCAATCAGTTTTCTTTATTGTTTAAACAAGGCTGAATTGGGTTTTCTGTTGCTTGAAATCAGATGTATAGAAAAAAATTCTAGAAGAAAATGCCAACAGTAAATACCCCTGAGTAGTAAAAATACACATGATTTTTTTTTCTTTGTAGAATAGTACCCAAAATTTCTACCCCCAAAAAGTACATTAATTTTATCAAGAAAAAGCATGAAATAAGTCATAAAGTATATATTTGGTTATGTGGAAATGGTGAATAATATCTAATAGCAAGTATTTTTCTAAAACAAATTTGAAAGTCACTACTGTATATTAAACTAGATAGGTATACAAAATTCACCCATAAAATAGAACAATTTTAGAGCATCGATACCATGCAATATATGAATTTATACAAGGCTAAGGCTAATTCTTTACAAGGTTGATCTTTGTATCCTTAGTTGTTCCATAAATGGTTTTTGAATGATTAGTTAAAACATAGTTGCCTACTAGCTATCAGGATGTTAAAACATACTTTTATTCAATGGTAACTATTTGATATAAGCAATTGTGGGATAGCTTTTTTAGAATAGCTGGATTTCTTATTTTTTCCAGCTTTTCACTTGGCCCAGGCTTATAGCCTTATTTAAATATTCTCCGAAATTGTGCGGTTTTTTTTTTTTGTTACCTTAAATACTAAAATAATTTAATTTCTGATCTGTCAAGGTAAAGCCCTGAAAAATTACCTTTTAATATACACATAAAATATATGTGTGTGTGTATATATATACAAATATATATACATACATACATATATATACACACGCATATATATACATATATACATATATATGGACGTGTGTTTGTGTTTTTGTAAATATGTAATTACTACCTCCCTTTCAATCCGCTATTAAAATATTCTTACAGAGCTTCCAGGTTGGTGAACCTGTGGAGATGCTACAAGAGTGGCATTCCCAGAGAGGACATGGCAGCTCGGCACCCCTTCCCACATACCTTGTCCTATGCATCTCTTCCATCTGGATGTTTATCTGTATCCTTTATCATGGCCTTTTATAAGAAACTGGTAAATCAAAAAAATATACATATGTATATTTTTACAAAAGCAGTGAGGGAAAGTGGAATCTAAACATCTCACCTTGTTATTGATCTTATTGGGTAAGGCTCA